ATATAATATAAATTATTTTAAATAATAAATTATATTAAAAAATATTTTATATACTATTTTATAATTTTTTTTATATATTTTTAATAGGTAATTTGATTTTATTTTTTCATTTTATTATTATATTTTATTTTTTAATATTTTTTTATTATTTATTTTTTATATAAAGTCGTGAAAATAACGGCGTAACTTTAAATTATTCAATGTCGGCACTGACTTATATGCTAGCCTGCTCACACCTAAAGACATTATACAAATTCGCCTGGGAATATTAGTCCCATTTTTTAGATTAGGTATTTTGCCGAATTTAATTTGATGACTGGGAACTGACTTACCCTTAAATATCTTTTTTTGCACTTTTGGGGCTATTTGAAACCATCACTCAAACCCGTACTAATGCATAAAGAATCGTTAGATGGGGCTATTTGAAATAATATTCCAAATAACCCCAAAATCAATCTCAAAAAGCCCCAATCACAAAAAGTAGAAACAGTAGCTAGCTCGACAGAGATATAAAATAGCAACATACACCCCTGAAATCTACGGAAAATACACGTATACATAGTTTAACTTGCATGGTACATACCTTTCTACGTTTCATGCGTCAGACGAAAGTTAAATACTTACGAAAAAGAGCGAAAATTCTTTTTTTTTTTAAACACTTGCTGCCTTGTGTAATGCTTAACTATAACCTCAAAAATTTTAAAAAAATTTACAATAGTCTTTGTGTTACCAGGTGACAACAAATATTCTACTCATTGCTAAATTAAAAAATATACGTAGATAATCAAATCTTTTATTTAAGAAATTCCATTTAACCCCACGACTTGCAAATAGCCCCTTTCTACGGTATTAAGCTACGTAAAACTTGTATATGTAACTAGTATATTCAGAAGTATTTCAGAACAAGTAAGTGAAAAATATCTATATAAGCTTCGACTTAGCGTAGTGACAAGCTATGAGAATTGTCGATGATCCCAGGCTTACAATCTTAGAAAAGATTTTGCCTCACTGCGTGTTTTATTGCTTATCCAATAAACTGTTTAATATGATTTCCACGGTCTACTAACGTACAGCTCGCCGTCGACAGGGAGTTCTTCCCCATACGTTAGGGCCTGGATGGTCGCATACAACGCAGTTTCAGAGATGTTTCTTTCCACGAACGTTCAGGTTATGAAATGAGCTCTCTGTCGAAGTTTTTCTAAGAGACTATAGCGTGGGATTCTTCAAAAAAGGGGTAAAGAGGTTTCATCAAGGATGGCAACGCGTGTTGGCTACGGTAACCATGTACCATCAGGTGGACCGTATGCTTGCCACTTCAGTGGCATAATATATATATATATATATATATATATATATATATATATATATATATATATATATATATATATATATATATATATATGACAATATCATTGGACATATTTAAGATAAATTGATATATTGGGGACCTTAATAAAAACAATAGACGCCAAAACAAAATTTTGGAATTTTTGTCTGTATGTCTTTACCTACGTATATTCTGGCAACATGCAAAAACTACTGTATCAAATTGGATGTGTTTCACATTTATATTCGTAATAGTTGAACTTATATCTGATGTATGTTTCATCGTTTTATTATAGGTTTATTTTTTTATTATGGTCTTTTGAGGTATGATAACTTGTTTTAGCTGTGGTTACATTCAAATACAAGTGCTATAAAATCAATAAACAGAGTAATAAAATGATTTCGCATTTCGTGTTATCAGTGAGGGATAATAATAGGTGATTATGAAGTACTTAGTTTAACGTGGTAAATTCATCAGAAGCAAAACACAATGATTTTCAGGGGATGCCGTGTAAAATCAATCTACAAGAGTGTACCATTAGCAATGGGACCTCTAGTCCCCATTATCAAAACAATAACATCGACTAATATCAATAGACTATCATACGGTGTTAAAAAACGTATTTATTTAAATAACTTTATTAACTAAATGAAAATATGGTACAAAAGGCGAACTTAATGCTTGTAGTATTCTCTACCAGTCAACCATTGGGATTAACAGTGAATCACGAACGCGGTACTTTATTATTAAAATATATAATGTTAATAAAATTTTATAAAGCATCGCGATATACCTGGACAATAAGGAATAGAATCGAAAACAATTTTTAAGTTATCTTTATTTCAGATTAGATCTTGCATAGAACTGTACCTAACTAAGCATCATTAAGTGACTCGTTTGCACCTTAGTCATAAATCGTAACTACCTATCTATAATAAATTTAGTATAAAAAAGTTATTGTAAAAAAATAATAAAATGTTAGCCGTTATGACACTTGACTGTACGCTCTGCTGCTTTCACGTACCTGCATTATGCAAATGTATCAATACACTTAAGTATAGTTATACTTATAGTTAGACTTCTGCATATAATTTATAAATTATTAGTAGTTTAGTTTTTTTTAGATTTGGCGTCAAAACGAAAATTCTATATAAAAATTAAGATTTCTCTTTGAATTTTTTTAATGGAAAAAGTTATAGATATCTATGTTCAATCCCATCTGATTGCTCATCAGTCTTGCACAGGATCTTATTCTCTTCAAGACTACTGCCCGATTTGAGCTTCCTAATATCAATTTTGCGACAACATGAAATAAGTTGTTCTTCCCTTACAAATTTCATAAAAATAACATAAGATGAAATAAAAAATTAACATATATAATAATAATAATCATTAAGAGTTTTTACAATTTTAGCTTGACGAAGTGTGACAATGTTGTCTGTCAATTTTCAAAAAGAATATATATTATTGCATGATGATACGTTAGTTCAGAAACATTGTAAATAATTAAAGCGTTTTTGAAAATTGACAGATGACGATGTAACTCTTCGTTAAAGTTACTATCATCATTATATAGTTATATACTTAACATAAGGGGTTTGCTAGTAATTGTCGCGCTTGGCAGGCAGGTTGGCAATTGCAGTTAGACTTTGGTGATATTTTACGACGGACGTTGCTGCCCATATCTCGACCATTGAATTCCCTTAGTCGCCTCTTAAGACACCCACGAGAATGGAAGGCGTGACCGCATGCTTTATATGGCACAGCAAGCTAAAGTAATGAATGGTCTTAAATGGTTTATAATATTATCTGAAATTATCAATTTTTAACCGACTTCAAAAAAAGTTCTCAATTTAGTTTTAATTTTTTAAGTTTATTACCTCAGTTCCGTCAGTTAGATATTGATTTTAAAAATTATTCTTTTTTGAATGGATATATGTACTTACAGATTGGTCTCTTGGAAATTTTATTAAGATCGGTTCAGTAGTTAATTTTTAAATTTTACCATATTTGAAGTCAGCTTTTTTTTGTGAAACACAACCTTAAATTATATTACTTACTATATATGAAAATAACAATGAATTTAAATAAATAAATTGAAATAAAATCCATAACGAAAATGCGTTTCGTGAATATTTACGCTATAAGCAAAATGCTACAAAGTGCAAGATCACAATCAAATGGATATAACTACTTCTAGCGGCCCGGAAGTTACGCCATGAGAGAGGACGAATAAACTATGAAGGTAAAAAGAAGCTTAAGGTACTGCTTGATCATTGACGTAAAAAAATTACGACACTTGTGATCAATTTTGTTCGTGAGCAATATTTATGATCCTAAGGTTACTTATTTCACGCCTTTTTGTATATTAGGAAAATGTAATGGAACTTAATTTTATATTTTTTTAATAATATGAAAAATTATTAGTTTTTCACGATAATAATTAAATAAAATTGTAGTTTATTAAAATATCCAAAAGATACAAGGCGCGGTCATATTTACTAATGCAGCTTTGTCTTTTAGTACTAAAAATACAAGTTAAAAAAAATTGCATACTCTTAAAGATAATTATAGAAATTAGTACAGTATCTTGAGTATGAGATAAAACAGTATGTTTTGTGTTCGGTATTGCTAACGTCATTACTTTAGCCTTCGGTACATAAACTATAAATATATCTGTCATGTTGTTTCAAGCCGACATCTATTGTTTTTCTGCATATATTATTACCTAGGTAATAATATATGCGATTACACTAACCAGTGTTATGGTAAAAGTCAATTCAATGTCAAGATGACAATATATTATGGTTAATATTGTATATATGTGCCTACATACATAATTCTAATTGATGAGATGATACAATTATTTCCTTTTAAAGAAATAAGTTATACGCAAAACAATTGAAAAAATGTGTGCGTTATATATATATATATATATATATATATATATATATATATATATATATATATATATATATATATATATATATATAATGTATCAAAAGTAAATATATTATCCACTGACTTTAAAAAAGAAAGTTCTAAAATATTTTTATGTTTGTTACCTCGTAATTCCGTCATTTATAAGTCGATTTCGAAAATATTCTATTAAAAAGATAAAATATTCTATGGATATAATCCTAATTAGATAAAATTTTTTTGTCACGACTGAGATCGCTTTTTTTGTGGACCACATCTTAAAATATTTTATATCTTACTGTGCGCAATTGATAATATATTCTATTCTATGCTTTTATATACATATGAAAATAACACCGTCTATGTGTCTTCTAGGTTTTTATAAAATGTTGCTGTTAAAGTAGGCAGTAAATATATATCAATAGTATATGCTAGTGATGATTGATGTTAAATTTGGTTTCACAAAGTAAGAGAGCACTGATGCCTATAGCACAGGTGTAAAACCTAGTTTAGGTATACAGGGTCCTCACTTTCAAAGCGCCTGGAAGAAATTGCTGTTTAGCGATAAGGCCGCCTACCGTTGCATATTTATCTTACATTTGTGTAATTTTGTTAATATTATTAATTTTGTTTGTGTACATATTGTTAATCTTTATAACTAGTATAATTTGTAATTGATAAACTCAATAAACGCTATTATTATCAATATTTTCTTATACAGTACTTATACTTGTACTTATATTATTTTTTTCAGGATCGTCAACAAACTTTGCCGTTGAGGAAGGTGGAGAATGCAGCGTCTGTAGGTGACACGAATAATCACACACAACTGAAACAAGAGTCTACAGATGTCCCTCCACCCCCACCTCCGGTGAGCACATAACACATTTTATATCTTAATTTTTCTCCCACCCGCCGAATTTTATTTTCGTACTTAATTTTTATTTATGTAGCTTTAAAATGAACCGTACCGAAATAGCAGTTATTTTGCCCATAGATAACTGTTTAGATAAATGTTTTTGAAGAAATTTTATATTAATATGTCGATATTGTTAGAAAATTTTGTATACTCCTAATTCTGAAAGTAGATTCAGAAGTTAGAAAGTAGATACGGTAGGTATTAGGAAAATCAAAGCAGTCATAAGTTCAGAGACAAAACACTATACTAATGGGTGCTTATATCGAAGCACCCATTTGTATACTGTTTTGTCTTTAAACACTTAATTGTACCTATACTGAAATGTATGTATAATGAATAAATGACTCAGTAATTGAATTTGATATGATAAATCATTAAAAAAATTATATCTAAGTTTTTTTTTAAATGGGTGATAATGAAATGGTAACCCCACCCGCGTTATACCCGTGGTATACACCGGCGGGGTACCAGTGAAGGATGATAGGTGAGGATGAAGTTTAGCCCATCGTGACAAATTCAAGAAGAATTGTTCACGAGGGTTTCCAGGGGGAACCACGTCGAGGTCGACCTAATAGGGCATATTGCTAGCAATGGGGCTGTCAAACTCCATTGCAAACAATCCCTTTCCCCCCTATCTCATAAGTTAGTAAACCATGTCCTTAGCAATATATTTATTATTTATCTAATCTAGAAAATAACCATGTTTCAGATGCCCATTACAAATGGTCAACAGAAGGTTGAATTGAATGATTCCAATAAAGAAAAAGCAGCAACAAAATCCGCCAATGTAGACCACAATAAATTTTCGAATATTAGGAAAAATGGAACATTGACCCGAACACCGACGCCAGATTACAATAAGTCAGATTCCGTAGTGCCTACTAAGTTAAATAATAAAGATGAAAAAGCAGATATTGAATCACTCGAATCATATAAATTGAAGAATCCCTCGAATGTGCAACCAAAACCCCCTTCAAATTATTTTGTTAGGGCACCGAACGGTACAGCTACGATGAATAAACACGGGCGGCCGGTGTCAGTTACGATAGGCGAATATGCTGGAAGCACCAATGGTCGAAGAGAACCGACCAAGTTAGATTTTTTGAATGGTGACAGGCCTGATGGTATAGTCGTAGACGATGATACATCGATCTCCAACAGACTGCAATCTGAATTGGCTTTAACACTATCTAGGTCCAATTTGCGAAAGAAGACTGAAGCTTTGGTAAGTATCTCACTTCAACCGAATTAAATCAGGGTACCTTATAAGCAATAAAATATTATCAAATATGATGAAAACATCTTTTTCAGGATCATTTAGGTCGCAAAAGAAATATTTTCTTATCTAAAGATAGTGACACAAAGGAAGATAGTGATTCGTCTTTAGATAAAAACTTTCATGTTAGATACGGCAATAATCTTTTACCGCTGCCACCATCGATATCGATACCTAAAGTTGTGAAGTTAAAGTATTGACCATTACAAAAGTTAACTGCGTGACTCTACCATATTATCGTAATTATTTTTGTGCCTACAAATTATTTAACTAGTAAAATATTGAACGCATGATCCACAATTTTTAAGCTCTGAAAAACTTATCACTTACTAACATTAAAATTACTCACTTTTTTCTCCACTTCTTCAAGTTTTCCAAAATATCGTAGTTAAAAAGAATAGCCGCTCTCCGCACAGGTGTATCTAATCTCTCTTTTTAACCGTTTCTCCAGAGATTGATTGCAGTAAAATTGTTGTTATACTAGTTAAAACTTGGGTTATCAAAATTATTTTAATTAATAAGTATAATTATGTTTATAAGCAATATTTTGGTCTATAACACTTATATAAAGATATTCTATTCATATTGGTGTGGGAACAGGTGCATGTTTTTTATTACATCCAAATACTTGTATGGTGATAATTACGAAGTTTTCATCAATCTCACACTAAAATAAAAAAAAGAATTGATGTTGACCCATTTCTACTATTTATGTTAAATATATAAATACAAAGTTGACCCATTTATTCTGTTTGTTTAGACCCCATTGAAATCTACAAACATAAAAAAAAATTGCAAGTTGAGAGTTATAAAATGGAACCTAAATGTACCTATATTATATTAATCATAATTATAGGACGAGAAAGGGATTGTTAGCAATGGAGTTTGACAGCCCCATTGCTAGCAATATGCTTTATTAGGTCGACCTCCACGTGGTTCTTCCTGGAAACCATCGTGAACAATTCTTGTTGAATTCGTCACGATGGGCTAACTGACCTACTTCATCCTCACCTATCATCCTTCACTGGTGCTTCACCGGTGTATACCGATAGCGCAGGCGGGGTTACCATTCCATTATCATCTATTAAAAAAATCATAATTATAATCAAGATCATAATATATACCTACCGAAAACTTTATCAATACTGCGTCATAAAACGAATTATGATTAAAAAAGTAATTGAAATGTGTTTGTTTATACAAAATAAATAATAAGAAGTTTTACAATTACATAGAAATTTAACGTTGTTGTAATTACTAGAATAATTAATTGAATACATATATCATAAACATGTTATTTATATATATTATATTTAAAGCACTCGCTTGCATTTATATTAAGTAAACTTTTATTAATTTCAACTTTTTTGTTCACAGGCTGACACTGGTCGATGAATAATGAATAATAAGTGTAGTGAATAATAATAACTTTTAGTTTTATTTATCTTCATATTGTATCTTATTAAAACAATGTTTAATAGGAAGATATGTTTAAAACGTTTAGACAAATGTTTGGTTAGAATTAAAAATTTCAACCAAAGTTAGCAATTTATTTATTATTAAATTTTATAATCATAATCATATATCAAAAACATTACAAAAACTTTGAAATGGATACCTAGTAAACGTGCCAGATACTTGTTTGATATTTTGGTTTTACGTATTATTTACGAATTTCATAAAGATTTATTTGTGATTTGAAAAGGTCTGTATTTATGTCTTGAAGTTATATTGAATGTTAAATTTTACTTTTAGGTTAATATTTTGTTTGAATTCCCTAAGTCATACATTATACAATAAATAACTATTATAACAATTTTGTTTTATTTCTTTATGCTATTTGAATGTCAAACAGACATACAGCTCACCTAATAGAAACTGGTAGCCCTTGTCTACACATGAATAACCATGGGCATGAACAATACCATGGAACCGTATGCTATTCTCGAGAATTAAAATCAATTTCATTGAAAAGCCTGATTCTTGCAGGTATCAGCAGTGGCATTTAGGACTATAAATTTCAGGGTTAATTATCATTTAACATAATATAGATTATCATAGTTCTTTGGAGCAGTGGTAATCACGTTGCTTTGCGTAAGTTATATTTAGAGTTCGATTTTTGGTCAGATCAATTCAAGAGACGCGACTATTCAACTAAACTATTAGTAAAGTCTATGTTATCTGTCCGATTATTGTCTAATCTATAGCTCCAGTAGTAAAGTTAAATATTTTTTTTTAGTGTCGCAAAACTTTCCGAGTGTCCCACGTATTATGTGCTGACAAATATCTGTGATTACAGTATCCAGAAGTGTATATAAATTTATTTATACATTACTTATAATATCATAGCTCAATTTACTAAAGTTAAAATTCCCTAAAGTTGTCAAGTTGAAATTTGAACACTAAAATTTTGAGTCGTTTAAAAGCTCTCACCTTGGGTCACTAGTTCTAAAATGATGGTAAACATATGGTATAAATAGTATGTTGCCATGGAAATAAATAATAAATCACACGATGGCCTTATTCAGAGATTTTAACTGAAACAGATTTTCAAGACTGGTCAATTAAAATTACGCTTGTGAGCTAACTTTCCTTACATCAGAACCTTGACCTATGCTAAGCGATACCGTAGCCAATTTGTTAATGCAGATACCTACCGATGATGATGAAACTTTTACTTGTTTGTAAAAGAGTTAATAAGGTATAAAATGTACTAAATCAAACACAAATTTATTTAAATGAGTTGAATTCCATATTACGTATGTAATGAGTTGAACTCCATGGTTGTAATCATTATATACGTAAATTTGTGCTTAAAACCTGCAAATTACAGACGTAAGACATTTTAAGGTCTAACCATAAGTTAGTATAAATTGTTCATTTTTATTTTCGACTATAATGTTCGGTGAATAAGAACAGCAATAATAATCTATGACGTATCTACATAATTTTAACAAGAACGGTTTCTCTATTGCGTCTCAAATATATTATTAGGTATATACCGTATGCCATAAACATGCAGCTCATGCGGATGGTTCTTTGAACTGAAAAATTAATGTAGTTTCCTCTTCTCTGAGAATCTTTCTGAAAAGATTGTTAGTAATAGGGCCTAAAAGCCCTTATTATTGGCTATAAATTGTCAGGTAAATAATTGTGAATTACTCATGTATTTGTCATGATAGATCGACTGATCCTGTGTAAACCAATAACAGACAACAGACATATCATTTATCTCTTAATAAATCTCACCAGCGTGCTTTTTTGTGCTTATAAATAAAAAATGGTATAATGAATTAAAATCCGTAAATAAGTGGATAATTTTGTTCTCCATGGATAAAAATTCCTTTTGGGGAGACTTCTACTAAATTGATTAAGTTTAGGGATTAGACTCATGCATAATGCCTGCCAAGCGTGGCAACTAATGGAAAAATTCCCTTTATAGGGAAGGCTTATGTCCTGCAGTGGACAGTTAATGGCTAAAATGATAATGTATAACAGATGTTATTAGTGACATTGAAATAGTGCTTACAATATACGCACAATGATGAAAGGTTTGAGCTTCAAATTATAACAATTTCCATCTAAAATCGTCATATAGTTATCCAGTCTTTATAATTTGTTATAAATTTTACTAATATAATACCACTGTAACTAAACGATGTATGTACATGGAAGATATTTAAGAAAAAAATATTTTTTGATATGAGGGGTCTTTATAGGACTAATAGACGCCAAAACAATTTTTTTTTTCCTTCAAGATTTTTTTGATGTGTTCTGGCAGCATGCAGAAACTATTGCATCAAATTGAATGCAGTTTTCAAAGTTGGGTTTCTGAAGATATAACTTAAGATCTGGTATATGTTTCATTCTAATATGTCATCTAGACGTGGTCTATTTTATTGGAATTCCTTCTTCTGAAATCTACGCGTAGTAGCGTAGTAGCGGGAAAACAAGTTTTTTTTTCATTTCCTATTTAAAATCTGCGCCCTTGTCAGTGGAGCTCACTTGGGAGTGTCTTGTAAGTTGCAAACTCACTATGATTTTCAGCGAGTCTTTTTACCTCTTGCTATGTCACGACACCAACATTTTCTTAATCTATTTGATGTAACTATGCCTTCTCCCCTCCCTTTCGCTCCTTTCTTTTATTATAATGTTCATAAGTTCATTTTAACCAATCAACTGTCCTAACATTTTCTCCCTTCTGACCTTAATAGTTTTTATAATTTGATTCTTTTCTTAATCCTCATTATTAATTCGATCTATCCAGTAAATTTGCTCTATCCTTCTCTAGAAATACATTTAAAAAGTTTTAAGTTTATATATTTCTTTCTAGATTTGGGCCCACATCTCACATCCATACAACGCTATACTCCAGATATAGCTCTTGCTAAGTCGTTTTCTAGTGTTTTTTCCTATCTTAGGCTGTAAAAAGAGTTTTTTTTTATTATTCGTAAGCTCGTTTGGCCCTTAATATAATCTAAGAGACATATACTTAGTATGTTATTCTAAATCTATAGTTCAGCCATAGCTATTTTCGCGACTATATCTGGAGTACATCTGGACTTACCTGTGATTAAACTACCTAATTGTTACATAATACAAATTTTGTGTTTATTCTCCCATAATTATAAAAAACAATAGTATCTTGCTCTGAAAGTATTCTGATGTTTCATTTACAAGCAAAAAGCCATAGTTTGTTAAGCTGTGTCACAGAAATGTATAACAGATTAAAAAATTATAAAACATTACTGTCATTTCTTGGTCAAAAAAAGGTCTATATATATATATATATATATATATATATATATATATATATATATATATATATATATATATATATATATATATATATATATATATATATATATATATATATATATAATTTTTTGGGATTAATTTATACAAAAAATTACTTTGAATTTTTATTGTTAACTGCTTCTTTAATTACATCATTAATATAATTTAATTTGTCTTCATCTGTTTCTAATGTAGAATACTTGGACCAAAGCACCTAAAAAAATAATTTTAAATATATATGTATATAAATGATTAAATAATTTTAATTTAAAAATGGAATCTCTGCCATTAATTATTATTACCCTATAACAAGTAATTATGGTACATTGTATGTTTATATATAATGCATATTGAGCTTTGTTCAGATATATATAACATTATATTTTGTCAGTGTTTTGTTATAATCCATTGTCTTTTTTTTTAAAATTTTGGATGGAAGTGATGCACCCCCCCCCCCCCCCCCCCCCGTAATACACCGATGTGTGGTTTTGACATTATAGATGCCCTGATTAGAGAGAGATATGATATGCTATGCCCATTAGAGATTGACTCTAAGATATTATTATATATCAATTCTTTTAAAATTAAACTATGATCCTTTTAATTGAAAAAATGCTACTCCATTAATGACTTTTGTTATTCAATATATGCAATATTCAATTTAATTTAATGCTTTTTTGTATGATTATTTGAAGGGTATTTCAGACACAATGTAATTGTTTTTTTTTTTTTTTAATATATAACTAATGACTAATCACAAATGTTATTATATATTTGTTGTAGTTACTATAGCTTATTAACACACTTGCAACAAAGGTGTGATGAGTGTGTTGCTAATTCTGAATTACTTGATGAAATAAATGAATTTAAAATAAACCTTACCAATCCAGCATTATATCCAAGAGCATTCAGTTCTTTGATTTTATTTAAGAAATGCCCAGAAGGTGTATTGTTATTATGGATAATACCATTTCTGCCAGTAATCACTAATATAATCCACTCATTATCGTTTGGTAGTTTTTGAAGTAATCCAAACTTCGTTTGTTTAAATACATCAACTACAGGTAATGGTTTTCCACTGCAATCATTGCAGATAATAATATCTGTAAAAGAAAATAATCAACAAATTATTATGGAGATATTACTATATATGTAAATTTTTACATCTTTTAAATAATGAATTCACTTTTATGTCAGTTTCAATAATGAAAAAGTAAATAAATTTATTTATGTCCCAACCATATCTTAAACAATTTGAAAAACTTAACAGTCATATAAATTAATATCTAACAAACTTACCTCCTCTTTGATGGTGTGTCAAAATATGATCTCCTATGACAAAATTATCACCACCACGGGAATCCTTCAATATTCTCATGACATCTAGCATCATTCTTTCAGTTATATTATACTGTTTACTATAATTCTCACTTGGTACGAAGTCTGTGTACTTCTTTGCCAAAATGACAGAACATTTGTCACTGAGACGATTCATTGTAGCATCTGGATAAAATATCTCAGCTGAATTGTCAATAGATAATATTTCTTTACCATATAATACACACTGTTTTCCATATGTATTTCTCAAAAAATCTGGGTCTAAAGCTTTATTCATCAAATCTCTTGGATATATTCCTAAAAGACCTAAAAATGTTATACTACATGCAAAAGATCTACCATGTTTAGTAATTTCATCACACCTTTCTGGTTTTCTAAACTCATCTATTACTGATTGGAAGAAACATTTTTCAGTTTGAGGTTTCCAATTGAATGTGCCATATGTTAATACTAATCTTTCCAGATCTTTTAACCTAGCTTGAGATATTGATTCCATAGTTTTTATTGCAATTTGTGTTAAACATGGTTTGTGTAATACCAAAGTAGATGTGCCAAGTAATGCAATATGAACATTACACATGAGTGATAATCTTGGTATTTCATGTTGGAGAACATCCAGTACATCATATATTTTATTATGATTAACTAATTTCATAGAATATCTCACAATTTTTAAAAGCGCTGCAAGAGATACCTCATGAATATTTGTAGAGTTTTCAATAATTCTATCAATTATTTTACACACTAATTCTGTATTCCTTAATGGAGTTTTACTTTTGAAAAATCCCATAGACATTATAGCAAGATCATCTATTGTAAATTCTGAGAATTTGTTATCCAAACATACTTCCAAAAAATGCATATCAAATGGTGGTTTTCGAACAATACCAACAAAAAACAATGTTTGTACTAATTGACTTGCTGTCAACTGTTTTGATTTTGATGCTAATTTTCGTAGAGACTTTAGAGAAAAATCACTAACCTTTGTAACATTTAACATATAAAATAAAGAAATAAAAGATAACAGTTGATCTATTTTCCATTCTTTCATTCTGTGTAAGCATTCATCATCTAGAGCAGCCCATATTTCTATGTAATTTCTTGTCCTGATAGATTCTGTTTCTGGCCATTTGCATAAAGCATAAAATAAAGACATAAGCTGTTTGTCAGTAGCTAACTTTATATTGTCTGTAAGATGGTCTATAAAAGTATCAAACATTTTATTGGAAATACATAGGCCATTATTATAGCAATAAACACCTAGTTTGGAAAAGTAGTCAAAAATTTGATCCGGTGTTTTATGCACCCAATTTTCTTGCATCAATTCAGTAAACTCTTCATCAGTAATAGGTATATATTGCTTTATATTGTCTTTATCTTTAGTGAGACTCATTGAATACCCTTTGTTTTCCATAATTGCATATGCATACTTATTTTCAAATTCCAAAAACATTTTTATTCGTAAACTTGTATTAAGATGGAAACTACGAAAATTTTTCTGCAATTTATTTGTGGAAGTAGAAAGAACCATTTTAGAGATATACTTAACATGATATAAATTACGCCGTATTTTAAACAAAATGGACATTGTTATCAATACCTATAGTAATGCTTTTAATATTCACTAATTCACAGTGATGAAAAAGAAAAAATATTTAGTTTGGTTTCGGAATTCTAACCTATTTCTTTCACCTGCCTCAGAATATAAAACGATAAGCGTGCACACTTCATGTAAGTTACGTAAATCGACTTGGTCAGGGATATCTCACCAACCTACACAAAAAATCCTTCATTTCTGGTTATGTTGGCCAACATGATGTTCAAAATGAAAACAAGTTATAATTATACTATAGTTTGATAGTTGAAACGTGAATTATGTGATAAAAGAAATATATAAATTTTAGGCCAAAATGTATGTTCCGATGAACATTTTTTAGCAAAAGTAAAACAATAGATAACATTCTTGTATACTTTTATTATTATATACAATATTACCTTGAGATCTCAATTTCGTAATATCATTGATAGTAACACAAGTTCACTCTTCCCGTAACATTTGATCAATTTCTATAGTACATCTCGCAGTAATCAATATTATTTATATATATATTCGTAATTTCCACGTCAAAAAAAAAAGAAATATGCAATACAAAGTTGAAACTGTTCCACAAATAGTTCAGATGGTAGCCATTTGACAACATGTTTGTTAGTTAAATTGGCACTATTGTGGTTTCTTCATTTAACTAAACGTTGGTATGATATTTCCTGACCAAATCCATACATTACTAGTACAAGTTACGCAAGATTAATTTGATTGCATATTAGTCAGCGTCAGTGATTATAAATCAAATGTATTCGCTAGCTTTTTTTTATTATATATATATATATATATATATATATATATATATATATATATATATATATATATATATATATATATATATATATTTTTTTTTTTAATCTATGTCTTCTATGTATAATTTTATGAATAGAATTTCTAGAATTCTACCTATCTAAATGGTAGGCACGTATATAGTATACTTAACAATTAAATTACTCATTCATCTATGTAGTTGCTAGAATAAAGACGAACCCAATATAAATAATTTTTAATCACTTAGGTTTCTACAAACTTATTAAATGGAACTGTAATGATAAAATTTAACATATTTTAATGAAAACTGAACTTATGCTGTAATAATAATATACCAATAGTTTTTTGCCACATATATTAGAGTTTAACATTGAATAGAGTAATCAAATGATAATCGGATTGAGTTGTAGACATTTTTTCTATATAATAATAATTTAAAATATTCAAATGTAAAGTTATGTATTTTTAATACTTTCAAGTACATAAACGAATTGTACAGTCACGTAAATCTGTATAATGGATTAATTCTGAAGTGCCATTTCTGTATACTTATTTCTTATTATAGTATTTAAATTTGATGAATTTATCAAATTACTACTTTATGTATCACCATAAACTAAAAATGTAATAATTAGAAAATTAATTCATATCCTTCTTAAAACAAAATTTCTCTGATGATGATATCAAATTGAAATTTAAAGGTTAAATTTAAGTTTAAATGGTGCTTCAGAATCGATCGCAATTTATGTCTATGTTTTCATTACTTTGTACTCAGGGCAGGTCAATGAAATAATTTTGTTATTAAAAAAAAAACCATCGGCCATTTTTAAGAATCGTATGATTTCGCGCGCGGCTTCTCGTTTATATCTATCATTTAATGAAAGTGGTCATCGTTATGTATTACTAATATCAATAATATATTCATTATTATTTGGTGACTTATAAAATATCTTTATCATGTCTCAAACCGAGGACGCAATGGATGTGGCAGATGTCGGCGATAATTCTGTAAGTAAAATTACGCGTTGAACTGATGTACTGTAGATTTTAGAATGATACCTATCATCAAGCCGGTATCTAATTTCTATGAAAAATTTTAAACAAATTGATACTTTTAAATCTCCAGAATGGTTCCTCCAGTGATACGACTTCATCCAGAGGTAAAGAAGGCGATTTTGAAAGTAAAATAGAAACCGATCGTGCCAAACGATTTGATTTTTTATTGAAACAAACTGAAATTTTTTCTCATTTTATGACTAATACTCCTAAATCTGGCAGCAGCCCACCTAAACCTAAAGCAGGAAGACCAAAGAAGAATAAAGATTCGGATGTCACAGGAGAGTAAGTAACTTTTAGTAAATTCTTAAGGGTATCCATTGACCAGAGGGAGACTTTGTACAAAAGTGGATTGCTTGGGTACCTCTGTCCCATTCGTGTTTCAACCGTGAAGCAGTTGTGTTTGCATGGCTGTGTTTCGGTTTGATGGGTGGGATATGGTGTGAATTTACTGGGTACGGAGGAATAACACCTGAGTCCTCAGGAGTGGCAGTGCATGAGGAGTGTCATGGGCGAAACAGTATACTCTATTGTGTCCATGGTACTACTCATGTCTATGGGTGATGGTTACCACTTTCCATCAGGTAGGCCGTCGGCTTGTTTGCCATTTTAAGTTGTATAAAAAAAAACCCATTTTTTGAAAACATTTGGCTATGCCTTAGCTTGCAATGTGGAGTGCACTGATTATTTATTTATTAACGATTATTTATTAATCCGTATTTATGTATTGAAAAAAATACAAATAATACCTAATTAATAACAATTGCTTTTGTTTACCAAATATTTATTTACAAAATACTGAATATTGCTACATATCTGACATTAATAATTGGAATAAAAATTAATTCTAGTAATGAGTTTGACTCATTTAAATGATTCTTTCTCTAAATCCCAGCCTACAATTTTTGTTCTAGCTCAACTCTAAAGCACCTCAAATAACTAAAGATTGTATCCCAAAAATAAAACTAGCTTTAATTGTAACAAAAGCGGTTTTTTTTGTTCTAACAACTAAAGTACTAAGCTGATTTTAATAAAAATTATATAGGACTAATCTGCAAGTATCATCATCATCTTCCTACTCTTATCCCAATTATTATTTTGGGTTGGTATAATATGGTTTTATCCATATTACTAAAGGATTTGGCTTATAGTTTTAAGACCAGCCCCCTGTGTCACGTCAACTCTCTTTGGGAATCTGCAAGTATATACTTACAGAAAAAAAAGCATCTTCCAAATGGGTTTACTACTGACAGAGTTATGAGATAACAAAAAAAATAAATACAATCAAACTGAAAACTTCCTTCTTTTTGAAGTTGGTTGTAAATGGCCATGGTGTTTGGCCAATAAATAATGTTTCCTAAATAAATTAGTATATTAATATGATTAATGATACAGATTTTATCTGCAACAATTTCAGTGTAATGTTGGTTATAGGGTATAAGGTGGGGTTATGGAACCCTCAATTTTTTTTCTGGAGTGTATTTTTTCATCATGACATTGAAAGAGTCATCAAAATTTTTTTATAAAAAATATCACAGGACCAAACTTGATTTACACAAGGAACCATATTCAATGAGTGCATAAAAGGGGGGATAATTCAACATGGAAAAATTCATAAAATTTTTTCTAAGTCCTGTACTCCTGTAGCTGCAATGTCGCCCCAAAACCAATCAATATATCTCAGAAAAAGTATCACACGAAAAAATGTCACATGATCAAAGTTGATCCTCTTAAGGAGCCCCATCTAATCAGCGGGCAGTCAATTATAAATGAAAAAGGGTGACCCCTCCCCCCCCGCCCCTATTCACCCAATGGTTTTTATTCATTAATCACTCAATAAATCACTCTTCAGGTATCTTTTTGTCTCCTTCAACTTTAACCAGTTGTCTCTGTCTGCCATATTATTTCTGGGTGTTATTAGTATTGTTTCAATATACATATTTTTTTTATAGTCATCGTCATCGAAAAACTGAGCAAGAAGAAGATGAAGAATTACTTGCTGAAACCAATTTAAAACAAAAGAATATATTTCGCTTTGAAGCATCTCCACATTATATTAAAAATGGAGAAATGCGAGATTACCAAGTAAGAGGTCTTAACTGGATGATATCCCTATATGAGAATGGTATCAATGGTATATTAGCTGATGAAATGGGTTTAGGAAAAACATTACAAACTATTTCTCTTTTGGGTTACATGAAGCATTTTAAGTAAGTACTAATTAATTTGTGTAATACAATATAAATAATAGAGGCTGCATATTGACTGAATACCGTAACTTTAAGATATTGAAAAGTGTACAAATGAATAGAAACATTTTCTTTATCTATTATTATAAGGAAAAAAATTTAATATTTATTTTCATAAAGTGCCATGAAGATTATGCATTGAAATTATATCATGATCCTGATTATCTATACTTATAATAAATCTGTAGGGAGGTCAATTCTGTACATGAAATATATTTTCAAAATAACTATCAGGGGGTGAATAGTGATCGATACTGCCAAAAATGCAATCAGTAAAATTTTTGTCTGTCTGTATGTTCATTATAGAAATAAAAACTACTCAACAGATTTTAACGAAACTTGGTACAATTATTCTTGATACTCCTGGGCAGGTTATAGTATACTTTTCATCACGCTACGATCAATAGGAGCAGATCAGTGAAGGGAAATGTTGGGAAAACGGGAGAATTTACTCTATTTTTAAGCTTCTGTCGCGTGTACAGCCTTAAAAGCCACTTTTTAAAATGTAAAAATGTCCACCCATGCAAAATCAGGACGGGCTGCTAGTATTCCATATTTGTTTGACATAATAATGTATTATAAATAATTTATTTTGGATTAACCTATAGTAATTATGAAATTTGTTGAATTCTTGGGCTTGTAATTTTATTTTTTTAATTACATTTTTACATTAGGATGGATTTATTTACAGGAATGTTCCAGGACCACACATAGTAATTGTGCCAAAGTCCACATTAACAAACTGGATGAATGAATTTAAGAAATGGTGTCCTTCACTAAAGGCAGTATGTTTAATTGGCGATCAGGAAACCAGGGTATGTTTGTGAAATTTATAAGAATTTTTTTTTTATAAAAAACTGTTATTGACTTTTTTATGTTTAAATTATTGTTATTTAACCTATAAATTGTAAGCTGTTCCTATCATTTTCTATTTTTTGTAAGTTGGTCTTCCAATAAATAAATAAACAACAAAATATATGCTAATACAATCTTTGACAGAACACATTTATTCGTGAGACACTTATGCCTGGCAACTGGGATGTTTGCATTACATCTTACGAAATGATTATTAGAGAAAGATCTGTGTTCAAGAAATTCAACTGGCGCTATATGGTTATTGATGAAGCTCATCGAATAAAGAATGAAAAGTCTAAACTTTCAGAATTGTTGCGGGAGTTTAAAAGTATGAATCGATTGCTATTAACTGGTACTCCTCTTCAGAATAACCTTCATGAACTGTGGGCTTTACTTAATTTTCTTCTGCCTGATGTGTTTAATAGTTCAGATGTAAGTATTATCTATTATTGTCTATTATATATTATATACCACAGTAATTTCTTATGAGGTTATAAACCCCATAATAAATTACTGTGTTTACATTACATAGTTCTAAATTGCTATAAGTAATAAAAAAAAATGAAAAATTATATAGTCCTCTCGTGCAAAGTTTGACAGTGAGCTACTATGGGTAGGAGTGCCGTCAACACAACCAACCTAAACTTTAACACAAGATCAGCAGATGGATTATATTGCTGTAGGACTTCATAAGCCATCCTGTGATGTTGTTTAAATCACTGCAATATATTGTTTTTAATTGGTGATAATGGAATGGTAACCTTGTCTGCGCTATCGGTATATGTTGACAGGGCATCAGTGAAGATGATAGGCGACGATGAAAGCAGGTCAGTTAGCCCATCGTGATGAATTCCAATAAAATTTACTACAAGGGGGAACCACGTGAAGGTCGACCTGATTGCTATGAATACACCCTATATTACTAGCAATGGGTCAGTTAAACCCCATTACTAACAATCCTTTTCCTCCATCACTGCAATATTAATGGTATAGTGTTGTCTATTATAGATAATAATAATAATTTGTAGAAGCAGGTGTAATTGAAATACAGTGAGCACTCTCTGTAAGCAACATTCTTAATATTTTATTTGTTCTACTCAGCTTAGTTAGTAAAAGAAATAATTAAAACTACTTTCCAGACGGTAAGTATTTTCATACTCCCTTTTTTCTTTGTAAGCAACTTTTCCCAATAAGAAATAATTTTTATTGATACTGGTTCAAATGAGTTGCTTATATAGAGCATTCACTGTATATTCAAACCAGTTGAATCTTTTTAACTTATAATTTATATAAATTTTATTACAGGATTTTGATTCATGGTTCAACACCAATGCAGCTTTAGGAGATAACCAGCTGGTATCTCGTTTGCATGCTGTATTACGACCATTTTTACTCAGACGTCTTAAATCTGAAGTCGAAAAGAAACTCAAGCCAAAAAAAGAAGTTAAAGTTTATGTAGGCTTGAGCAAGATGCAAAGGGAATGGTATACTAAAGTTCTTATGAAGGACATTGATGTTGGTAAATATATTTTTTAATACAATATATAACTGCAGTGAGAGAAAGAGATATTTTATTGTAGAAAAATATCCATAAATATGAATTTGCCATTTTTATTATGTTTACTCGGCAATAGCGTTATTTGTATGATACTATATAGAATTATGATACAAGGAGAATAAAGGTAACTTCAGATTTTATCTTAGGGAATTACATTGGGGATGTATACTTTTTTCAATATGGTGAAACTGATATGATAATTTTTGTACTAATTGAAAACAAACATCATTATTTAAAAACATGATTTTTCAGTAAATGGTGCTGGTAAAGTGGAAAAAATGCGTCTGCAGAACATCCTTATGCAGCTGCGTAAGTGTTGTAACCACCCATACTTGTTCGATGGTGCTGAGCCTGGCCCACCTTATACTACTGATGAACATTTAGTATATAATTGTGGCAAGATGGTGATACTTGATAAGTTGCTGCCCAAACTACGTGAGCAAGATTCTCGCGTTTTAATTTTTTCACAGATGACAAGAATGTTAGACATCTTGGAAGATTACTGTCTATGGAGGCAATATAAAGTTAGTGAAAAATATACTTTTTTCTATTTTCTTTATTACTAAGAGATTTTAAGGTTGGCCTATTTGGAATTCTAGTATAATTTTTATTTTGTAGTGGATATTTCCAAATCATTGTACATTTGTGGTACACTGAATAAGTATAAATTATGTTTTTAAATTACATTATTTCAGAAGAATGTAGGGCAAGGATCAGAATTTGCTTGTGTTAAATTGTATATTTTCATCTAAATCTATTTAAGTAGTTACTTATGTGTAAATAAATTGCCAAATATTTTCATATTACAAAAACGTGCCGTTCGAGCGATCTACTGTATGAAGAGTCGTGACTCATTAAGAGAGAAATTCAAAGAGGCAAATATTCTCACCGTTGCTTCTCAATTTATATATTCAAATATCCTATATGTTCATAAAAATCTTGACTTATTTCCAAAAAACAGCAATATTCATAATATTAAAACTAGATTTAAAGACAAACTTGCTGTCCCCAAGTATCGTTTAGAAAAAGTTAATAGGTCTTTTATGGGAATAGGTATAAAAATTTACAATAAGATACCAAAGGATATGTTGGAATTACCCTTAAATAAATTAAAAACATCTGTTAAATCATATTTACTGAGCAAAGCCTATTACTCACTAAACGATTACTTGAATGACGAGTGTGCATGGCAATAGTTGTTCATGCACTGAATTTTCATTTAATGTTAGACATAGACACCTATATAAATATACATTGTAAATAAACTGGCTTTTAAAAAAAAAAGTAATTCAATTGAGTTTCTTGCCAGTTCTTCTCAATTGGATCTATATACCGAACTGGACGGTAGGGAAAAAAATAAAATTATAATGTAAAAATTTGACGTTCATAAGCGGCTAAAATGTCCTACATGAATAAATGATTTTTTAATTTGAATTTATATTATTAATATCCTATACAAATATTTTCATATTATTAGGTTTGTTTGAAAATACTACTTGTAAATATATTTGTATGTGATTATTTTAAAATGTAAATAAAAATATTCCAGTATTGCCGCTTGGATGGTCAAACGCCACATGAAGATAGAAATAGGCAAATAGAAGAATACAATGCAGAAGGTAGTGAGAAGTTTGTTTTTATGTTGTCGACTAGAGCTGGAGGTCTTGGAATCAACTTGACATCAGCAGATGTTGTTATCATTTATGATTCTGATTGGAATCCTCAGATGGATTTACAGGCTATGGATAGAGCTCACCGTATTGGACAGAAAAAACAAGTATTATCTATTTTCATTATTTAGAAAAAAAATTGTTTTGGTAAAATGTATTATATGTATGTAATTTGGCAATATTACTTATGTACTGTTTTGCTCCTATTCTGGAACAAAAGTTTATGCTATCTTAATTATTTATTTTTTGCTATGTTTTTCCAATTGAATCGATTACTAACACAGATGGCATGTTTTATAAATACACAAATCTTTAATTGTTATTTATAAGGTTCGAGTATTTCGACTTATTACGGACAATACAGTTGAGGAGAAAATTGTGGAGAGAGCAGAAGTGAAACTACGACTTGACAAATTGGTTATTCAGTCTGGTCGATTAGTAGATACCAAGAATCAGCTAAACAAGGATGAGATGCTCAACATGATTAGACACGGAGCAAACCATGTGTTTTCTTCAAAAGATTCCGAAATTACTGAAGAAGACATTGATACTATACTAGCTAAGGGAGAATCCAAGGTAAATTGATCATTTTAGATGCATATTATTTTACATGATTTTATATAAATCATAATGAGTTTCATGCCAAATTTACAGACTGAAGAACTTAAGCAGAAGTTGGAGAGTTTAGGAGAATCTTCGCTTCGAGCCTTTTCAATGGATACTCCTGGTGCAACAACAGATTCGGTGTACCAATTTGAAGGTGTTACAGTTTTCTCTTTTCATGAAATAGTAATTAGGAAAAGTAATTAAATGTTATGGAAATAAATGTTTTTAATATTTATGTACTTAGGAGAGGATTATAGAGAGAAACAGAAGGTTATTCCAATCGGTAACTGGATAGAGCCTCCTAAACGCGAGCGTAAAGCTAATTATGCAGTGGATGCATACTTCAGGGAGGCACTTCGTGTCTCCGAACCCAAGGCGCCAAAGGTACAGGTAAATAAGTGTAAAGAGCTAAATGCGGAGTCCTGCGCTACGGTTTGGTATACTTGGTGGTGGTTTAGTAACACTTATATCATCCATTCATTTATGTACATAACTATTTACATTGATTAGCTCTTTATACTGGTGTAGAACCTGGTATATAATTATATATTGTTTTTAATTCATATTATATCATCATATAGTATGTATTGTCTTATAATACATATATGTATTTACATATCATTAGTGTTATCATAAAAAAAGTACGTTCATTGAGCTTTATATTGGTTATAATAATATATATACATACTCATTTATTAATAAAAGTAGCATATATTATGTTCTTACGAATATTATATAATGTTGATAATTTTCTTCACCAGGCACCAAGACCACCGAAGCAACCTATTGTTCAAGATTTTCAGTTCTTTCCACCCAGGCTTTTCGAATTGTTGGATCAAGAAATATACCATTACCGGAAGACTCTTGGGTATCTTTTCTATAATATATATTTAATGATGTATTTTAAAACTTTTGTATAAGCACTTTTATTATTTAGTTATTTTCTGCGATTTTGTCGATATAACCGACCTGTATACCAAATTTAGTTCAAATGCTTTCAGAAATTTCACTTGAAAGAGTAACAAATACCCATGTGTACAAACTTTCGCATTTTATAATATTAATAGGATAAATATTTTTTTTCTGTAGTTATAAAGTTCCACGAAATCCAGAATTAGGTCCAGACGCAGCAAAAATTCAAAGAGAAGAGCAGCGCAAGATCGACGATGCTGAGGCTCTTACAGAAGAAGAAATACAAGAAAAAGAACAACTTTTAACACAAGGTAAATGTGAAAAAAAAAATTTGTTTTACAAAAAGTGGCCATTTAAATCGTGGCATAAATTTATATAGAATTAACACGACACTAAACCCGACAATAAATAGGTCGCAAAAATAATAATATTTTTTAAAAATATTTTCAAATTGGGCTAAAATATTGCGATGCATAAGCAATTTCAAAACTTTCCTTTTTCAAGTTACTTAAAAAATATAAATGATTAGATTTGTTAATATTCAGCACTTTAATTTATATAATGATATGATGTTAGTAATTTACGTTTTATGTAATCTACTATGTGTGCTAATAATAACGTATTAATTTCTAGGGTTTACAAATTGGACAAAACGGGATTTTAATCAGTTCATCAAAGCAAATGAAAAATATGGTCGAGATGATATTGAGAATATAGCAAAAGATGTCGAAGGGAAAACGCCAGAAGAGGTAATTTATACTATATGTAACTAAACCATATTTGTGTGCGTGATGCAATAGAAGAATACCTAACAGATTTTAATGGAATTTAGTGTGGTAACAATTTATTACTAGGTGTAAGATGTAGGATAATTTTTTATTGCAGTAAATTAATTGTTTTATATAGGAAACTTTAAACATTTGCTATATTAACGATTTCGCGAGCGTGTCTAGTAATGTAAATATTGTTTGAATGAATTGCTACCTTGAGAATTTTTTTTATATATAATGTATAAGAATATAATAAATGCAAAAAAGTGATTAGTTATAAAGAGATCTCTCTTGGAACATGGGCCAAAATTTGTAATTATATTTTTAAATCCTACATACTAATATGTTAAATATATAATATAAACCTACCATTACTAGCATGTCAATCAATTACAATGATTAAAATGTAATTTATTTTAGGTCATGGAGTACTCTGCTGTTTTTTGGGAGAGATGTCATGAGTTACAGGATGTAGATAGAATTATGGGGCAAATTGAAAGGGGCGAAGCTAAAATTCAAAGAAGAGCCTCTATAAAGAAAGCTTTAGATGCCAAAATGGCACGTTATAGAGCACCATTCCATCAGCTCAGAATCTCTTATGGAACTAATAAAGGCAAAAACTATGTAGAAGAAGAAGACAGGTATTTTTTATTTCCATTGTTTTTTTTTTTTTATAGCAATGAGATTTCGCTTTCAGTTATGTATAGATAGAATCAATTATGTATATTTAATCTAGGTTCTTGGTCTGTATGCTGCACAAGCTCGGCTTTGATAAAGAAAACGTGTACGAAGAATTACGCGCGGCTGTCCACGCAGCGCCTCAATTCCGTTTCGATTGGTTCTTGAAGTCGCGCACAGCTGTTGAACTGCAGCGCAGGTATACTCATATTATGATTACATATTAGTTCTGTTTGCTTGACTCACATGATACATTTAACTTAAACTACATTACATAGGATAAATTTAGATTAAATTGACCAACGAGATGGTTTGAGATCTTAACATGATGTAAAAATAATAATATATAGTTATCATCAATATTTAACCTTTTGTCACATTAAATCTGTTTCTTGTTTAACAAAATATTTCAAATAGACAATGTGTTAGTCATCTAAAATGGTTATAAATAATTTGCAGATGTAATACACTTATTACGTTAATTGAAAGAGAAAATCAAGAACTCGAAGAGAAAGAGAGGGCAGAAAAGAAGAAGAAAAGTGGAAGTGCAAACCTTAATACTTCTGGAGGTAATTCAACTGGCAAGGGTCCAAATACAAGTAAACGTAAAGCTGATAATACTCCTGATACTGCACAGAAACACAAGAAGAAAAAGAAGTGAAATGAGTGATCAGTGCAAATAGATAAGGCCACATAGTTACAATAGTTAATAGATTAAAAACAGATGACATAATAATATTTATTATTTAAATATTTTTATCGATTCTAATTTATTGATGTGGCACGTCCGTGTAATATTTAAGCAGATCGCCATTTCTACTAGTTCCATATGTACAAACTATCATTAAGATTAGTCTGGACACTTATTGCAGTGGTACTAACTGCATATTGTCCATTTCCATGCTCCTGTCATTCAAGCCTGTTAAACAACAAATAAAAATGGCGATTGCAAAGCATTTAAAATTTTAACATATTTAGTATTTATAATTTTAGTTGGTTTCTGTATTTGATTTAGTAATTTTAAATTACACCGTTATAGAATTTTATCCATGGATGAAAGAGATTGTGTATCTATTTGGAATAAGTTTAAGTTGTAGAAGACACATTTTTGCAAGTCATTTAATAAATAAAGTGACACCTGAATATAGTCTGTTTTATTTGCGATATTTTGTCAAAATTAATAAAACCCGACCAACGTATTTATTAATTCTAGTTATTATTATAATTAACTTATCCACAATTTACTGCTGAATAGGTCTCCATCATGTTTTTTTTAATAGGTGGAAATGGTATGGTAACCCCGCCTGCACTATCGGCATATACTGGCAGGGCACCAGTGAGGTGATAAGTGAGGATGAGAGCAAGTCAGCTCATCGTGAAGAATTCCACGAAAATTAACCACGATAGTTCCCAGGGGAACCGCGTAGAGGTCGATCTGATAGGGTACATTGCTAGCAATGGAGGTGTTAGACCTCATTAGTACCAATCTCTTTCCCCCAGTCTCCATCATGTTGCACTCTGTTCCGTAGATCACTGTGTGTGTTGCCATGATTCTCAATGTAATGCTGTCATCCCGATGTTTTATATTCAAGGTAGTTTGTATTCTGAACTTATTACACATAATTTTATTTTAAAAGGTACTGATAGTTAACCGTTACTACAAAAATTATTATGATCGCGTTTACTTTGTTGTCAATAATTTGGATTGAATATATTTTCGCCTAGAATGGATAGTTTTTAGAACCTCATGTGACATTTATTTTCAGGTATAATTATCGACAACCATCAACCGGTTTTAAGTAGATCTTGTAAGGTATAAGATCTACTTAAAATTGGTTGATTAGGTTGACCTCTAGAGATATTCAGGAACCAATTCTTGCCACGATAGGCTGACCTGACGTCCACTATTAACATCTCATTAGTATTTCGCTAGTGTGAAGTAATAACAGGCGGGTTTACTATTAGTTTAATCCACTAAATAACACTAATAATAGGCGAGGTATAGACGTTATATTTTGATTTTGTCCATTTTCATTTTATAATCCATCATTGAGCAGTGTTTATGTTCTCCAATGACTGCGTCATAAAGAATTGTTATCAATTTATATGATTTATTAATAAATCAACCATTTTTTAATAGATGCTAATGGAACGGTAACCCCGCTTACGCTAATGGTTGTATATGCTAGTGGGGCATCAGTGAGGGATGATAGGCGAGAATGAAAAGGCAGGTCTTTTAGCCCATCTTGATGAGTATGATGGTTTCCAGGAGGGACTACGTAAGGTCGACCTACCAGGGTATATTGTCAGCTATAGGATTGGTAGTCCTATTACTAACCAATCATTAGGTATTTCAATAAGAAATATCAAAATAAGCAAATACAAAATTTATTATTTCGAATATTATTTATGTCGTGAATCAATAGTTACATTGAATTATAATTTTTCTATATTCGGATGCAAAGATAAAGAAAATATTTGTACATTATATAGACTGTGATGTACTTATTGTCGTTTTACTTGTTTCATGATATTTCTTTATCTTAGCATCTTGATCCAACTAGATTGGATAGAATTATTTTTTGCATTACATTCAGCAAATATATTCATACACTAAAGTTAGAAGCAATGTTTCATAAAATATGTCATTATTAAAAAAAATCTACAGTACAATCACAAAACGGCAAAATGATGGATGTAATTGAATTTATTTTAGAACGACTTTAATATTCATTAACATTGCTAAAAGTGATTCGTTATACAGAATAATCTAGACAGTAAGTATATAAAAGAAATACAGATTTATTTATTAGATATAGAAACCTTTTATTATTGAAATAAAACCGGAACGCAATGCATCCTGAAAAGCTTATGTACACGTGACTACATTGCAGTTTGCTATTTATGAACAATATAAAATATTAATAATAACATTTAAATCAATTAAATAAAATTTCTACTTAGTGAATATTTATGTTACTCCACTTAAACATTTATAAGTTCACTTCTTTATTAAGCGTTGTATGTACAATATTTTTGAAGTCACTGCCTCTTAAATAAATTAAATTATTTAATTTAAGAAAACAATTACAGAACATTCACCAATTCATTCTGAGATATGGAAAATACGCGGTTGTGGTGTGAGGCTGGTCACACACACCGAATCTCCTGATCAAGATGAACTGCCATTTTCACTGTTTTCTTGGAAATTATTGACATTTGTTGAAAAAGGAGCTCCCAATCCATACAGGTGTCCACTGGTGCTCTCAATGTTACCATCAAAAAATATCTAAAAACAATTGTTTAATTAAATAAGTGTCTCCATTTGTTTACATAGTCTCACAAATAGCAGAATTATTGTTCTTGTAAAAATTTTAATGTACAATTTACAATGGCAAACCTAAAAATTTTTTTTAATGGGTGATAATGGTATGCTAACCCCGCTTGCGCTATTGGTATACACCGGCGGGGCACCAGTGAGGGATGACAGATGAATATGAAAGTAAGTCAGTTAGCCCATCCTGACAGATTAAACTAGAATTAGTTACGATGGTTTCCAGGGGGAACCACGTGGAGGTCTACCTGACAGGGTATATTGCTAGTAATAAGGCTATTTGACCCTATTACTAACAATCCCTTTCCCCCCAACCTACTAATTAGGCTACCTGATGGAAAATGGTAATTATCAACAACATCACAGAATAAATTGTGACGCCCATAGTACTCGTCATGTGTCGCCATTTCTGAAGACTTCTTCTACACCTACCAATTTCACTGTCACACCCTATACTTCAAAAACTTATACTTGAAAAAGCCAGTAAATTACAGCTACTCGGCGGCAGTAATACGAATGGGATAGAGGTACTATATATATGCTTGAGACTGTTGTAAAAGGTGTAACTTCCTTTGAATTGTCTTTCATGGACTTACTTCTTTAATTTTGAAGAAAGCCATTCCCGTGAGATGAGAGTCGGAGCCGGCTTGATGCTGTGGCCCTACGCGTCGCAGTTCAAGCTGGTCTGCCACCTCTTGCAGCCCACCTTTTAGGTTCTTGCATAACTTCATTAGGTACTGGAATATTATAATTGTTCATGCGTGTTTAGAATTTTATAGATACAAAACATGTTTGATAGAGATTTCAACATATAGACTTTTATGGTATATTTAGTTATCATCAGATTTACTGACTCTGACATACTCTGACATTATTTAAAATATCTTGAATATGTAACCTTTAACTTTTTGATTACTTCACTTTCTAGCAGTTGTCATCCATCTAGCGCTCAGCTTAAATTAGGAATTTTATTTTGTACTTTTTTTTTATTTTAACATTGCTATAATAATAATATTCTATACTTTTTATTATATTTACTGTGTTAATTTATTATAGACAGTGGGCAAATCGAAAAAATACATATCCAATTGGTCTTGGTCATGAAAAACTTAATCAGAGAAATTCAACTATAGTAGTTAAAAATTATGTATTATATTCTCATTTAAGCAGTTGAACAAAAACTAGTAAAAAGATAGAAAATAAATATACACTCACTTTGACATCATATACAGTGGGGAAGTATAGTCTAAGGTTATCAAAGAAATCATTTTCTTCTTGTGGTAAGTTCTGGTCTGTAAGAAGTTTCAGTAAGTAACCAAAGTCATATCCAGAGTGGAAACTCAGCCAATTGATGTTATCCATTAACACAATACCTAAAAAGACAATTGATGTTATAAATATTATTTCTGGTTACTCTTTATACAATTGATAATATTTAAAAATAATTGGATAAATAGTTTATTTTTATAATAAAAAAATATTGACAACAAAATCTTTTTCTGCAAATAAACTTGGTGTACTCATAAATTACAAATTAGGGAATTAATAGGAAGGTTTATGTTCAAATCATATCCTATATATATTTTAAAATTATTATAATACCTGAAGACATAAGTAATTCAGCAAACTCGAGAGGTTCAATGCCATGTTCTTCATGCTCTCTGAATTGTAGTCCTGAGTTTTGTAGCAAATCTATTGAATCCTGGGCATACATGTCTTCTCTGAAATTAAAATATATTTTTACTTTCTTTATATATTTTTCCCTTTTATCCATAAAAACATCTAACCTCTCATAAACCTATTTTAGTTCTTGAACTGTTTTGTGTCTTTTATTTGTGATAAATTCTGTTTGAACAAAAGTGACAAAACAATGTAATAGTTAAAGTAGGTTTGTAGTAAGTTTTATGAATAAGATGGTTTATATAGTAGTATCATTTTCATGTATGAAATTATATATTATAAGGATAAGTGTATAATCATGTTCAAATTTATTATTCTAGTTAAAAATTTGGATTTAAAGATGTCATTAGAAGTTTTTAGATTATAATTGTTTTATGCAGACAGACATTTCTAGGCTTTTGTCAAGAATTTTAAGTGCAGGTCCATGATTTCTAAATTAATCAATCAATATTTGTATCATGTTTATAATTTTACAAGATTTCATTTAGAATGCACTTATTAAAAGGCACTTACTGTAAGTTAAATTTAAAATTGAACTGCCAGGTAGTACAGCCAGGGGGTGTCTTGCCATTTTCATCCATGAATGTTAAACCTAATTGGATTATCCTTAATAAATCCACATTGCATCTGTGAATAAAGTTAATTATTTGTTAATCAAATTTGTCATCATATTAGCTGTTAACTGTTCACAGCTGAACATAGGGGGAGCCTCCTTAAGGGAGGTTTTGCCGACAGTTGCATTGCTTTGCAGCCAGGTTGGAAATTGCAGTTAGGCTTTTATGATATTTAAAGAAGGATGCTGCTGCTCACCCTCAACCAGTAAGTTCCCTTAGTCACCTTTTATGACACCTATGGAAAAGAAGGGGGTGGCCCATTCTATGTCAGAACTACATGGTCAAAGTTACATGAATAAATCAAAATTGTAGATAACAAAAAAAAAATCACTTGTGACATATTAAGCATTGTTCATGTCTAAAGACTATAGGCTTAATACTATATACATACATAAATATTTTAAGAATTAGCAATAGAATTATTGTAAAAAATGGAAAGATTTATTTGTTAGAGATTTTTATTCCATCATTTACCTTAGTAGTTGGTATTGATAATCTGCAGTGGATCTGAACTCTCCAATAGGACGCGCCACTACTCCTGGAAATTCTGTATCCATTGCTACCCAATGATATTTCTGGACAATCTAATAATAATATTCACAACGATAATAATTATTAAACATTTTTAATGATTAATGGCCAAAACATGTATTATAAGTTATCAATAAAAGTTGAATGCTATTTTATTTCAATATTAAGATTTCATACAGAAAAGTAATAAGTGTTTTTGGAAATCTTAATAAGAGGATAAATACCTGTCTGATAACATGAAACTCTTCATGCAAGTTATGATTCCATACATTTTTTATAGAGCAATCTTCTTTAATTACATTTGCTACTAAAGAACCAAAACTAGCAGCAGGCATCTGAAAAATAAAGCCAATTTTGGAGGTATTTTAACTGTATGTAGTTCTAGTTGTATTGTTCATTTTTAGGTACTTATTGCAGATATTACCTTTAGTAACTATGTAGTTAAAAACAATATTCTTGTGATGTATCCTTAAATATGGTATTTTTTTAAAAACTTGCTAGTAAATTTTCAAAATGAAAATAACAAAAGGAATATTGATAAAAGTTCGCTCAAATGAATTGGTATAAATTTATATTTTATAACATAAAACAAGACAAAAAATATTTATTATACAATTACACATTTATTATTTTATTAATTGATTTGAATTTGCAATGAAATTATGACACAATCCGATAAATTAAAATTCACTTAAAAAAATCATTCAATCAAAAAGGCAGTTTATTTTTGACTTGTATCTCAGACCCACATCACTTTGAATAAAAAATATTTGTGAGAAATCTATGCAACCAAGGCATTGAATTTGAACATTCGATACGGTAAAGAAACTAGATCTTTTATAATTATCTATTGATACCAATATTGATGACAAAGGCGTATTGTAAACAGCTTGAAAGTACTATAAATATTTATTTTATTGTGTTGATAGATTTAGGTAGTTGTATAGATCAGATTTGTCGTTTAGCTGTTGTGTTGACTCTTAAAAAACGTAAGGTAATGTTGACAGATGTCTATAGTACCTTGCTCTATGTTTTGTTTTCTTTTTTTTTTATTGCTCATCTTAAAAAGTATGATAATAGGCTGATGGATTCCAGCCAGTCTTAGTAAATTAAAAAGTCTATGATTAAAAGATAGGTATTAGTACTTAGTATTACTGTATGGTACTGATTCCTAGGAAGAAGGGATTGTTAGTAATGGGAAGGCTAGTCTTATCAATATAACCTATCATATATTGAGCTATCAGGTCGACTTTCACGCGGTTTTCCCTTGAAACCATCGTGACAAATTTATCGTTGAATTCGTCACGATGGGCTAACTGACTTGCCTTTTCATCGTTAATAATCACCCCTCACTGGTTCCCCAACAGTATATACCGATTTAGGCGGGGTTACTAATCTATTATCATGCATTAAAAACGTGATTACTTGTTTTGTGGGCATTACCACACTATAGCGGTGCGCGAATCCATATGATTTTTTTACTTGAATAATTAGTAATTACTAATTTTATAATTCGTGTACTAAATTAGTAATATAGGAATTTTCGTATTAAATTTATTTTACTAATTAGTAAATCCATCCGAACCACTAATAATGAAAACAAAGCATTTTCCTGCATCCCTTTTATTTATTTATTTTTGTCGAGGGGAAATGCTTCATACAGACTTCCATACCTCGGCGAGATATGTGTGTACTGTCGGACTCCTACTGGCTAAAACTCCCCGGTGTTCCTTATTCACGCTAATGTCGGGGCAACGGGGGCATGTCAGCAGTCTGTTGCGGCCCCGACGGCGATGGCTCGTTCTTGCAGCGGGCCTCCTCTCAGAAAAATGGGGTTACGTCCGCTCTATTCCAGGGAGGCGTGCGGGAACAGGCGCACGCCTCTATCTCAGGGCCTATGCCAGACAGCAATCGCCCCCGCGGTTACTGCTCTAGGCCCGAACGTCGGAAGGGACGAATCGTCGGAGTCTCTCCTTCGTCGCCTAATTATTCTCTGGCGGATAGCACCAGCAGAAGAGGCAATCTCGCGCTCTCTCTCTGCCTCCTCCTTTCTTGCCACGACAGCCTCACAATAATCGAGGACCGCCATCCAGGACTTCTCGTCGCTCACTATCTCCTTTATAACTGAAGGCAACGAGAGGTCACTTCCAACAACCGCGATTAGGTCTTGACGCTCCCTCGTGAATGCGGGACACACCTCCTAGGTATGTTGCGCCTTGTCGACGTCGCAATCCTCGCACTCGTAACAATTGCACAGGTACTTACCGAAACAACTGTGTCCGGTAAGTACCTGTGTGAGCCGGAGTGTTAACGGACTGAAGACTGGACGTTCTATCGTTCTGTGGCCTGCCGTTAGTGCAGCTAGCCTCGTTTCCCATTCCGCATGGACGTTCTGCCGTTCCTGAAGCTTCCGTGCCCTTAAAGCCCCAGAATCTGGCTCCTCACCACGAGCCCTCAACTCCGCGCGCCAAAGATATAGCGACGCGCCGGCTTTGGCCTCCAAGTCCCACGGCGGGGATCTCGCTAACAAGCACGCCGCTTCTCCAAAGATGGTGCAATATCCTCTAATTGCCCTGATCGCTATGGCTCGGTGCAGCCTTCGCAGGTGTGCGACATTTGCCCGGATCAGGGCATTGGCCCATATAGGGCCATAGACTGTATCACCCCCAGATAGAGACGGCGGCAACTCACCTCGAGCCCCCGCAAGTTCGGGAGTAGCCGGCCAAGAGCATTTGTAGAAGGTTATGAGCCGTGGAGTCAGGCCCCGAAAGTGGGCCCGGAAACTCCAGCGGCCATCTAGCGTGAGTCCCAAGTACTTTATGTAGGACCTTACCATTATTTTCTCACCACTTATCACTATGTGTGACCCAGGTGGAGGTGCTCGCCTTGGGCCGTGGAAACAAACGGCCTCGGAATTGTCCAAAGCTACGCAGAGACCTAGTCGGCGGATTCTGCCGACGACCAGGGCCGACTCCCATTGGTGGCGGAGAGAAAGCTGGCTGAGAGGGAAACAGGGATGTCACCACTTCCTCCAGTTTTTGAGGCCGGAGGATCTCCACGATCGGAGCTTGCCTCTCACCATCAGGTATGGGCACCTCCATGGGTCCCTATTCAGTTTATTCAAGTACTCCTCTCTGGCTTGTTTTTTGGCCTGGTTTATTTCCCGCTGTAGGGCTTTCTTACGAGTGTGAAACTCCTCGTAAGCGTCGACGGACTCTTCGTTGCTCGGGTTCCATGCCTGCACGATAGAGGCCTCGATCGCTACCTCTCTATCGAGCTTGCTTAAACTATACCTGGTGAACCTTAATGTCCTTTCCCTGTGACCAATCGACGTCGGAATCGAGGAGAACAGATCAAACCTGACGTATAGAGCTGACGTACCCCCCCCCCCCCACCCACATGACTCTCCAATTTTGCACTCTGCGCGCAGTGTTCGGGCAGGTGAAGCACACGTCAACTATCGACTCGCCTTGCCATCGTACGCAGGTAGGAGTAGAGCCTTCGTTTAGAATGGAAAGGTTTGCCGCCAGAGCCCACTCCTCAAGGACGCCGCTTCGTGCATCGGTTGCTGGGGAACCCTATACCGTGGATTTGGCATTGAAGTCCCCCATCACTAGGATCGGACAGGTCGAGTGTTGACCCAATAAGGCTCCCAACTCGTCTAAAAACCTCTCCAACAGGCAATAGTCCTGTTTCCAGAAATGTAAACTCCAGCAACTACGATTCCTTTCCTTCCCAAAAACTCTTGCTTCTGGCCAGAAGAGTTATGGGAGGTGATGAAATATTCCGTCCCGGCGCCACTACAGCCACAGAGTTCGGAAGGAACAGGGGCTCGGTCACCACCAGCATGCCGATCGACCATTCAGCCACGCTCTGCATGAGTAGATTTTGGGCGCAGCGACAGTGGTTGATGTTCGCCAAGAGGATTCGATGAGACATATTAAATGGTGGTCTCCTTGGCTTCCGGCTCGTCTCCATGGCCAGAAGCCGTTGGTGTCATAGGTGTTTCCGCGCCTCTCCTGCCGTTTTCCTTGGAAGCGGAGCAGTTTTTTGCCCCTACTCAATGATTGGCTTTACGCCCCATGGACGAACACACCACACACACTTAGGTGCAGCTTTGCAATTCGTAGCCTTATGATCTGGTCAGCCACAGCGGTAGCAAAGGCCGCTCCTATCTTCGACGTGCGTACACAGTTGCCTTACATGTCCATTGTTCAGGCAGCGGAAGCACCTTAGCGGCTTTTGCCCCAACAATTTGGTACGAGCCGAGATCCAGCCAACAAGCATACGAGTCGCGGATTTGATCTTCTTGATCGCGATTACTGGGCCTCGGACCCAGCATGTTCCCAAATCGGAGGGGTTTCGACGAATCTCGCCCACTTTGACGTTGTCGATTGGGCAGGCTCTGTTTCTTGTAACGGCGGCGGCGAGCTCTACTGTAGTGACAGAGTCGTTTAAACCGGACACACGCATCTCTGCCGTTTTGTTGGATCTGGAGACTCTGGCGACCTCTTCGGGTAGAATTTCCCGGATCCTGCAGGCGAAAGTGTCCGCCTTTTCAGCGCTAGTTGCGCCAGGGACTTCTATCAGTCACGCTCCAGTAGCCGCCACCCTAAGTCTGACCGACTGTATGCCTAAGGATGGGAGATCTATCCTCAATTTTATTTCGCGAATTACGTTCGCGTGGTTTGCTCCCTTCTCCTCTACCCCCGTTTGCAAAGCGATCACTACTGCCATTGAGGGTGGCCAAAGTTTCGAGGGTAGCGGGATGCCCTTTTTGGCAGCAGTCGCCTTTTCTTGCTTCCCCTGTTTGCTGGAGCTCTTGTGTCCTTCCGGGACGCTTACTAGTTTGCCCCTCCTCTTTACTATCGTTGCCCTGGTGCCCTCTTCTGCATCCGCTGTCATAAAAGTTTGCAGTTGCTGCGGGTGTTGACGGGATTGGGTAGCCTGAATTGGCATTGTTTGCTGGGGTTCTACGTCCTGGCTCGTCTTATTCGCCTTGGATTTTTTACCTTTCCCCTTGCCTTTTTCTAGCGATTCTTTCAACCAGGGGATGTCCCTGAATCCAGTACCTCCACCGCCAGGGATGGTTGCGAGAATCTTACTATTCTCCCTGTTCTGAAGAGGGATGTGACGCTCCAGTGAGTATTCCTCTGGAGTGATCTCCGAGCGACCGGAAGTTCCCGTCGCAGGGGGAGTGATTAGCTCTCTAAGCTCCTTTAGTTGACGTATTCCCGCGATTGCCGTTGGATCAGCACCGCCACGTCTAGCATAAATCGGCTTTTAAAATCTGATCCTGCCTCCTGGTCGTTGCCGGGTTCTCCTGTGATGTTCGATAGGGGGCCCGCTTGTGACCTGTTTTTGCGAAATTCTTCACGCAACTCCTTCATTTCTTTTTTCACTTCGCTGAGCTCTTGCCGGAGTTTTTCATTTTCAGTGTAGAGCTTTTGGGTGTCTTCGGAGGAAGAACATTTCATTATCTCCGATACAGACGACCCGATTGCCGCAGAAGCATTCTTCAGCATCTTGACAAAAGGACCTTTCAAGTTACGCGATTTTATCTCTCCGATCTCCGATCACAGCACAGATCCTCTTGCACTACCTTATGATGAGAGTGGGCTGTTTGCATCGCTTCGGGTTCTCCCACCAATGGTAGCTGCATCCCCTACCTTATTAATAGTTAATAATGAATAACGACTGACGTCTAAAAAGAAGAAACATTACAGCGGTCAATTCCTTTAAAATATGCATCATAATAAATTATTACAAATTTAATTTGATAAGCATCAAAAGTTTCTACTTCTTATTCACATTCACACTTCAATTTCACAACATTCTTGACTATAAACATAAAAAGGACATTCCAAGCGATCGGGTCGATTCGGCTACGTTCGTAACGATACGTAAATGATCAACTACTATGAATAATTTTACCGATTAATAATCTGAATGATGTTCAGTCGAATAATTAGGAGTCTGATTAGTAGTCACGTATCGCTAGTAGCGAATACAAGCTTTTTATAAATTGTAATACATGACGCTGGGGGAAAAGGGATTATTAGTAATAGAGACTTAGAATCCCATTGCTAGCAATATACCCAACCAGGTCGACCTCCTCGCGGTTCCCCCTAGAAACTATCATGGTTAATTTCTGATGAATTCATCATGATGGGCTAACTGGCCTGTTTTCATTCTCATCTATCACCCTTCACTGGTGCTCCGCCAGCGTATCCCGTTAGCGTAGGCGGGGTTACCATACCATTTTCACCCATCAAAAAAAAATACATGACACTGGCAGAAATGGTCGTAAAAATAAAATTCGATTGCTATTGAAGAAAAGATTAAGAACAAATAGTGAGAGAGATCCATAGTATAAGGCAGAAAATCCTAAATTGCTTTACAGAGGGATCACTGTTTGATAGTTAATCGTTTTTTGGTAATATAAAGTTGAAAATTGATAGTAAATATCCTATAATTTTCGGCTGTCATTACTGTTTACTATATAGAGGGGGAATTTTAATGGTGAGACGCCTTTTAAGTATGCTTGCTTAAATACACTACGAGTTAAAGATGCATTGAAGGAAGTAATATTTAAGTATAAAACAATAACAAATACTCGCTAATTTTAAAATTATTTTATTACCTTTCTTTATCGAATAGTACAAAAACAGCAGATATGAAACTGTTCTTATCATATCACATAAGAAAGATACAAAATAAATGGTAAAATCTTAAGAAAAAAATAATTCCTTAAATCTAATCTATCGTGTATAAAATATGTATCATTAATTGATCAATTAATAAATATTACATCTAATACTTGGGAAACTAATCAATGTATTAATAAAAATAAGATTATTTAACTTTTTTTTTAGTTATTAACAGAAATGACAGTAATTTAAGGCGTATTAATTATTATAATTTTCTAAACTAGGTATTGAACATTATTGAAATATTTTTTTTTTTAAGATATATAATATAAATATTTTTTAATTATTAAATAATCGGATTGATAAAATAAGATTGTGGTTTGCGCTAGCGTCACGACCAACTGTAAGGTTTCTGAGGGTACCGAAACTAGTAGAGTATTCCTGACAAAAATGCATTAAATCAATCAGATTACTTTTACAATTAAAATTAATAAACATTTTTAAACATATTCAAAAATTAGCTGTACTTATATAACATGTGACAATAAATATCCAGGCTTAAACTGAAAGGAAATAAGGAATGCCAGAGTGTCACAGAGATGCGCCACCTTTTCAAATTTATTTATTAGTTTATATTCTATGGACGTATAATTAATGCCACTGTATAACAAAAATATTGGTTACTAAAATAATGAGAAATAATGTGATTGACTGAAATATTAATGTTTTTTTGATAGATGTGTAGTGAATGGAGTAAATCATAGTAAGTAGAAACATAGCTACTGGCTTTTTGCGACATTTATGGTCACATCTATTATCATGAGTATGTGCTTTTCCATTACATTTTATGGTATTGATTTCACCAATGTGTCATAATATAAAATAAAAGGGACATTTATATGTTACTAAAAATAAATATGTTAAGGTCAATGAGAAATTTTATCGAATAAACTGTACTATAGTTAATAGTATAGATGTGCGGATGAGAAAAAGTGATGCGACGCTATTGTAAATGATTTACTTATCCACCAAAACGATGTACTTATATAAATTTTTAGATATTAAAATACTATAAAATAACATCAATATCTCAAATTGTTTAGTTTCTCAAGTATTACATGAGTGTCAAAGAATAATTTTGGCAAATGTCCTCATTCAGGAGATTGTAAAAATCATTATAAAAATCAATCTGCAGATATCACACTTGATTTGGTCAGTAATTGTTCTATTATGGGTAATTTTTTGTTGTGTTTAATAATGTTTATCCCAAATACGCAATCGGATGGAGATTTCCGAATTATTTACAAAAGTAACATAAAAATCAGTAGAATTTGACTGTATACAGTTAATAATCCACATCTATATACAATGCATATAATGTGTTCCTGCTTGTTACGCGAAGTCACTCGGTAAGGTGGAAGACGCGTGGCTGTGGTGTGAGGCTCATGCACACCGATTCTCCCGATCAGGACGAATTGCCATTTTCTCCATTGTCTTGAAAATTGTTAACATTTACTGAGAAGGGTGCTCCTAATCCATACAAGTGACCACTTGAGCTCTCAATGTTATCATCAAAAAATATCTGAAAAATTACAAAAGATATTTGATTTAATGAAGTGCACACTGCATATTGGACTTAATCATTGCAATATTTTTTTCTTAAAATTTTAATCAATACAATTAAATACCTCTTTTATTTTGAAGAATGCCATTCCTGTGAGATGTGAATCAGATCCTGCTTGGTGCTGTGGCCCTACCCTTCGCAATTCTAGTTGATCTGCTACTTCTTGAAGCCCACCTTTCAAATTCTTGCACAATTTCATTAAATACTGCAAATATAATTTTATAAGAAATACTGTTATAATAACAACAATTAGAATAGTTAACATGCCACTATAAACAAACAAACATACCTTTACATCATATACAGTTGGGAAGTATAATCTTAGACTCTCAAAGAAATCATTTTCATCTTGTGGTAAATTTTGATCTGTGAGAAGTTTCAATAAATACCCAAAATCGTATCCTGAATGAAAACTAAGCCATTTTATATTATCCATAAGTACAAGACCTGTTGCAAAAAAAAAAAATAAGATTGGTTAGTATAAATTATTTATTTGGATTATTCAGCATAAACTTTCATCTTTGCTATGACGTGATGAGTAGAAATTGGCATTTTATTATTACTTCTAAATTAGAGCAGAGTTTTAAAAAAGTAATAAACAATATTAAGTAGTTTTTGCAAAGCTGTCTTTTGTTTCTTCTGTATAGGTATATTATCTTCAACAAGATACTACTAATCAATCAGTGGAACTGAAATTTAAGGCCTTATATAGATTTACCCGATGACATTAGAAGCTCTGCAAACTCTAATGGCTCTATTCCATCTTCTTCATGTTTTCTGAATTGCAATCCCGAATTTTGAAGCAAATCAATGGAATCTTGGGCATACATGTCCTCCCTACAAAATTTAAAATACGGTTAATTTTTAATAATGTAGCTTTTGTTCAAGTTAGAAAATACTAACTCCATTATATTTTTTTTTATCTGTTCAGTCATTTTTTGGTGATTTCTAATAGGCAGATATTAATTCTAAAAATTACGAATTGACATAAGAATAAGTAGGTATTAACTTACTGTAAATTAAACTTGAAGTTAAACTGCCAAGTTGTGTAGCCAGGTGGTGTCTTGCCATTTTCATCCATAAATGTGAGACCCAGTTGGATTATTCTTAGTAAATCAACATTACATCTACAATTAGTTAATAAAACAATGGTTAATGTAATATATATATATATATATATATATATATATATATATATATATATATATATATATATATATATATATATATATATATATATCATATCATTAAAATAATTAAATGAATAATTTCATGTCATTTAATTATTTTTAATAAAACTTGATTGGTCCGCACTTACAATATTATAATACTTTGGTTTAGATTAAAATATGAATCTATGTAGTAAGTTTTTCTAACAGATTACAACATAATGCAATACAGATTTAATCCTTAGTAACATTTTAAACATGAGAGTTTGTTTGTTTATTACTTGTTAATTTACTTAATACATAGGTACATAGGTATAGATTGTTTACATTAACATGGTACACTCCTCAAATAAAAATAACATATAATGTGTTAGTAAAAATACTTATAAGATTTCAACCATCAATAAATATAATCTAATATAAATATAATGTGAATAAATATCGAATTTGAACAAATACAGTGACTTGTGCTTTGATAATTTGCATCTGTATTTAGCAGTATAGCTGTGGTGCTGCATAAGATCTTTGTATGAATGCCATATATCCTACCTGTCAGGTTTAATTTATTCACTTTAATTATGATTATTTGGTCAATACATCTAGTAAAACTAACGAGTTTTACAAGTAAGGACAACAAATACACTACTAGTTAAAATAAGTTTGTAAAATGTTTTAGTTTTATGAAAAAGCAGATTAGCTCTAGAGTGAGGAGTAAGGTAAATATATATAATAAAAACCAAGTAGTTTTCAAAGGAATATGAAAAAAGTCAAGCATAGTAGGTGTACATAAAACATTTTGACAGTGAGTACTTTCAAATCACTATGCAATTAGAAACCCATAAGATCAACCATCTTAGAGTGCTGTTGGACAGCTACCAAAGATGATTCTTTACAAAACACAAATAGAGTACTATGTTTGTATATAGTTGAAGTAAAAAGTTGAAGGGGCATGCCATGTTAATGTAGACATTCTATATTAAGAATCTCTTTCAATGGAGTTCCTTATGTGTGCAAAATTTACAGTTTGTATATGTAACCCTAGTAATAAATCTAATACCTAATAAATAAAATATTAATACCTGAGCAATTGGTACTGATAGTCAGCTGTAGATCTGAATTCTCCAATGGGTCGTGCTACGACTCCTGGAAATTCAGTATCCATTGCTACCCAATGAAACTTTTGTACTACCTAAAAATGTTAGCATTACTATTTTATTCTGATTTCATAAATCGAGAAACAAATAAATAATTAAGGTATTTGGAAAACAAACCAATTTCAATGTTGACAAAACAGTATGTAATCAATATGGGAGAAAACTCCTATAATTAATAAAAGGATAATTAAGATCAGATTTGGCAAAGATAAACTTAAATAGAAATTCTTTGTCAATTGTTAACATTGTGGTGGATCAATGACTTTTTAGATTTCTAGTCTATATATCAATTAAACATGAAAATCAATATAACTGTAATGCCTATAGTGACATATACTGCACTTTGTATTGAATGTTCTTCAAAGCCCAAACAAAATGATGGTAATTAATGTAATGTAATATATTTAATGTACAATCACACAGTATTTATATTTTTCATTATTATAATGTAAATGATGAATACTAAAAATTAATAAAAGACATATTCCCTATGAAATAAATATTAAGTTATGTGGTGTTGTTCACATCTACTTAAATTAGTAATTTAGGGCACAGTAGTTAAACTTAATTTTTAAAAATAATGGTTCGCAATCTGTGATTGAAACATTTGTCTTTTGCTTGGTTATCAAAATGGAACGAATTATTATTATATTTAATAATATTTTTATTACTGGAAAGCTGTTGATCTTTCTAAGGAATAAATAAAAGTAAACAAACCTGTCTTATTATTTGAAATTCTTCATGAAGGTTGTGATTCCATACATCCTTTATACCACAATCACCATTAGCTGGTAACTGTGCTAAAGAGCCGAAACTAGCAGCTGGCATCTGTAATATTATATTTTTAAAGAAACTACTGGTACAATTACTTATATTCAGTCCAATTAATCTGATTGTAGAAGAAATACAAAAGTGAAAGATTGTATAGATTGTTGGAAATGCATTACTAAATTAATATTAATAAGAAAATCACGATTAATGTGCTGAATAGATTTATATGAAATTTGTTAGATAGATGGATCATAATTTGGATTAACACATAGGGTCTCTTTTATCCTAATTAATGTGATCTAAGCTGTACTTAAAGCCAGTTATAAATAAAGTACCTTATATCTACTATCTGCCAGATGCGGGGAATCTTCTGACTTTTTCGACGCCGTGATTTCCGTTTAATTGTAATGTGCTTCAAGAAAAATATTGTATCTTGGTTACAGTTTGTAAACATTCATGACAACTTTGTGAAAATACTGTAACATTGTAACATAGATTATCACAGTAAATTGATTGACATATTATTTTGAAATAGAAAATTAGGTGATAGATACAGTGTTAACGTCGATTTACGAAATAATTCACATATGTTAACGATGATAATGATATTACTAGAAGACGCCATATTTATTGACATGACACATGATGACACTGAAGCAGTTTGACTTATATTTGACATCACGGGACACAGAGCATTATTTTTGTATCTAGATAATACTCGATTATCTATACTTATAATAAATATGTAGAGAGGTCAATTCTGTACATGAAATATATTTCCAAAATCAGGGTGTGATTAGTGATCGATACTGATACTAAAAATACAAACAATAAAATTTTTGTCTGTCTGTATGTTCATTATAGAAACAAAAACTACTAAAAACGGATTTTAACGAAACTTGCGCGTGTGTGCGTGTGTGCGTGCGCGTGTGTGTGTGTGTGTGTGTGTGTGTGTGTGTGTGTATGTGTGTGTGTGTGTGTGTGTGTATAGAGCCTCAAGCCTCAAAAACGGGGGGAAAGGATTTGTTAGTAATGGAGACTGAGAATCCCATTGCTAGCAATATATTCTACCAGGTCGACCTCCTCGCGGTTCCCCCTGGAAACTATCATGGTTAATTCCTGATGAATTCATCATGATTAGCTAACTGGCCTGTTTTAATTCTCATCTATCACCTTTCACTGGTGTTCCGCCAGCGCAGGCAGGGTTATCATTCCATTTTCATCCATAAAAAAAAAGCTTCAAAAACGGGTCAATTTTTGTCAGTTAATTGTCAAATTTGCTGACATGTTTTTTTATCAGTGTTCTATGTACGCATATAATGTATCTTATTTAATAAATAAAATAAAAAAACAAAAGGTTTTGAAAGTTTATTTTCTTCTTTTACGGGCAAAATTTTATTGATAGGGTCGAATAGTAAGTGGGCTGCAATATTGTCGTGGCTTTCATTTTAGGAATTAGATTACTTGACGATCGAGGACTACAATTAAATAGGTATCTAGTAGTTTTGCAAAGCTAATATTATCTATCTATAACTATTTATATAAAATTTGTTTCGGAAGAACATATTATGTTATTCAGCGTAATCATAATATATAGTACTAATTCTTTACTAAGAGGTTATATTGAGTTTTTTACACGAAAAAAATAATGATTTTCTTATCGCTGTTAGGTACATTCTCTGCAGAAAATTGGCATTTTTGCAGTAACAAATAGTTCACAGGCGAACGCACGTATGTTTTCCAAGTAGATAATTCTATAGAGCACGCGAAGGTATTTATATACATCTAAGTTTATTTGTATATATACTTACATTCACTTTTGCAAAAAAATCGGGTCAATTACTTTCATTTAATATAGTTTTATTAATTCCACAGATAATTAATACTACAGGTACCACCTAGCAGGGGTTTGTACTTACTCATCTTTATTAATCTCTTAATTATCTAAATGTTGCAAATCATCCATATCAAAATGAAAATATTAATGTTTGAAATATCTAATACCTTAATTTGTTTCAATCGCAAACACAATCTTTATTGTTTACCTATCTAATATAATCATTTAGGCATTGACAAAGATTCTTACTAATATCACAGTAAACGTGGTGGAAGGGATAGATTGGCCAAAACGAAAATAGCTGATTCAGATGAATGGTCTGAATCAGATGGCAGATTATTTTCTTGAAGTGGCAATAGTCTTGTCAAATAGCTAGTATCTTTCTACTTCGTTCTTGTGTGGCGGCCCCGTACAGACAAACGCAGTGTAGGACTACTACCCCACTAGATGGAATGATGACCTAAAATACATTACAGAGGGTCAGTGGATGCAGGTGGTTGTTCTTTATGGTAGTCTATGGGGGAGGCCTATGTTTAACAGTGAACAGATAACGGCTGATATGATGATTATGATGATGTGTATAAGTATGTAATATAAGTAGGTAGATATTTTAATTGAAATCCACTGAGTATTTTCTAAAAAGACGCGCTATATTCAGGATAAATTTACATTAGACACAATTTCCGCATTCTCTCATAGTGCAAAAAATATAATAAACTGCAAATTAAACAAGCTTTGTTGCGCTTGTATGTACTTTTATGCTTTGTATTCAGCTTGAATATGAATTACTCCCACAAAATTAATATTTGAAACAATTTTATTTCTATAAAGACGGTTTAGGTAGGTACGTATAGAGATAAATGTTAATCTTGAAAATGAGGTTTAAAAGAAAAGAGGATGCGAGATTGATTTAACAAGCACCAATTGACGTTAATATATTCTTATAGAGGATAAAAGTATGTATAGTAACCTTGTTTGTGTTATTGATATAGTGAGTGATGGTAGATGACAATGAAGTTAGTCTGGTGTATGAGCCCACCATGACAAATTCACCAGGAATAGTTTGCAAGGGGACATTGTAGTATTTAAGATGGTTTTTAAGGGGGCCTAGCCCCTTAAAAAGGTTTGTATATATATTTAGACATGTCTTTGTAAAGCTTCGCTCATATCCTGGGATGGACACCGGATTGGGGGGGGGGGGAGGGTTTAGCAATGCGGACTACGAGTCTCATTGTAAGCAATATACCCTGTTAGGTCGACCTCCACGTGTTCCCTCAGGAAACCATCGTGCTGAATTACAGGTGTATACATCACGATGGACTACTGACCTGCCTTTTTATCTCCACTATCATCCCTCACCGGTGTTCCGCCAGCGTATACCGTAAGCGCATGCAAGGTTACCATTTCATTGTCATTAAAAAATTCTCCATTAAAATTAGGATGGTCACGGCCCACATGAGCTCCTCTTTAAACACGCCGTTATCTAGTCCCAAACTAACCAATCCCAATCAAGTAATTTTGAATATATAATCGAAATGCTTTGTCAATTTGTCTGTACAAATGTCGATAATGTGTAATTTTAATTCTGATAAAATAGCTACTGAGACGAAAAATAATTTTGATTGACTATATTATTTTGGTAATGGTGGGTATACAATACGAGGGAGATTTTTTTATACTGTAATTTATATAACATCGTAATCACATAAAATAGTAGGTAGGCACATATATTTAGTTATATAAAAGTGATTTTCAGCAAGTGAGAAGTGTTTCGTTGGATGTATATGGGTGTGGTTTTATTACCTATCATCAATAACATGCTTTCGAGAGCTGTCGTCGAATACGAGTCTGAGTATAAATGTAAGTAGGTAGTGTTTTCATAATATTTGTACTGTTACTGTATTTGTATTATTGTTTACGCGCACGTGTATCTTTACGTTTGTATTGTATTAATATTAATTGATATGTAAGTATGAATTAATGCTTTAAACCCGTTAAAAAAATAAAAATTTTGTTCGTATAATTTAACAATTTAACAACGTAACCGCTAAAAAGTGGCTTAAAGAAGATAGTTTTCTTTTATTTTTACTAGTATATAGAAATGTATATAAGTATTTATGTATGTAACAGAGGTATTTATTTTAAATCTAATCATATTTTGTAAGTGTAATTCATTTGTTTATTTTAGTTGTAATAAGGAGTTTGTGTATTTTGAATTTTTAATAAATAAATATAGGTGACCACACGATTTGTGCATTTAGTCAGATCTACATTATCGATAACAGGTGTGAAATTCTTAATTTAAATTGTGAATAAGACTTTCGGATAAAGTCGAAACAATTGTCGGAAACACTACCAGTGACTAACAGTAACTTCATAAAATTTTCCTGATATACGTATATATAGTAGATTCTCAAATTTATTCAAAGTGAAATATCACACTGAAATATCTAAGTGAATAATTAAAATAGATATTTTCATGAATATTATCGTTGAAATTAGATTTATTGTATTCTTTCGTTACATTCTGTGTAACTGCCACTTGTAATTGTTGTATTGCGACATTGCAATTATGTCATAATATTTAGACTATTCATTTAAGTATTACAGTGGGCTCTGAATAAATTAAGAATCTCACAAATGTTACCGGTGGAAAAACTGTGAACATATGTAGGTTGCTCTTTACGTTCCCTGTACTTCAGTCGTCTGTGTTCTGCCGCGAGGGTTGGTCTAGTTGCACTCGGAGCTTTGTAGCCGCGTCGCGACCGAGCGCACGGCAACTTTGTGAGAAGCTTTCCCGAATAACTTTTCACTCTGGTTATAACTGGATATTCTAGCAATGTGATTTTATTTTGTGATTTTTTTTTGATTTGTGTTTTTCTAATAAGAGGAAAGGTGAGTACATATTATATTACTGTAGTACTTTTAGAAATTTTTAAATACCTTTCTATCAAAATTTCTGGTTGAAAAGTATAGTTTTTTTTTTAAATACCATGAACGTGGCAAACATGCATACAGCCCATCCGATGGTAAACGGTTATAAATAAAACATATTACTGAATAGTCAGGAAATTTGTTTTGAATATGATTAAAAGAGTTTGTTAATTATGTCAGAAACAATATTTTAGGTCCCTAACATAAAATATATTTTTCTTTTCTAAATACGTAATGGTATAAGTAATAAACTTTATTTTGAATAAAATTTATAATAATATATATCTAATAACAGTTCAAGATAATTTTTGGCAATTTTGTCTTACGTAAACGCACGTGTATCGAATTTAGTTGAATGAATGAATGGAATCATACATATTTCAATTAAAGATTTTCTATTTATATGGCTCCTTATTGTTCTATATTTATCGTGCCTCTACTATTACAAAATTGAAAGTAAGTAGTATGTCTGTTATTTTTTTTATGCCCATAGAATGCCATGCCATGAGACATCGGTGTAATTCTCCAATGTTAAATATAAAAATGCTAAAATTTATTATTTACTTACATTTAGGTACTTGAAAGAATGTTATACTAAAATCTTCCCCGTTAGTTAATTTTCATTGGCGTTAAATAAATATATCAAGTATTTTGTGACACGAAAGATTTTAATTCTTTGTTATATCTCGTTCTACATATATGAAAATTTCCAAATTATTAATTATAAAATGATGAACAATAAATGAGTATGTTTATATTACTGTATGTTCAACACACTTCTCTGTATTGTATCAAAATCGTATTAGATTGTAGTTAACTTTCCTTCACTTTCGATGTAGATATTTTGGTGTATTGCCAAGAATTTCGATATTGCTGATAATTTTGTTTTTAACTATATTTTAGATGTTTATATTAAAGTCAATTTATCCATGTTGTGCTTCAATGAAGTTTTTTACATGTTATATTACCATTGATTCTGTGATTGAGCCAAATGGAATTATTCACAATAATTGTTTACTTAATGCACCAATGCTATAGTTATTTAAAACAAACTTATTTGTTTATGTTACTGTAATAAACTATAAGAGTGTCTCTATAATTACAGATGCTAAGTTGCTATAACATTTATATACATAAAATCATAATCGCCAACAGTTTATCATTGCTTTCTTGAAAAATAAAATATAAGCAAATAAACTCAGTCTGTTTGTTACAGTATTTCAAGTTTAATTAATTGAGGTATATTTTTTCCTTGAAGTCCTTTATAGGGACTATGGATAACGTCTTTAACTTATTATTAAAAATTAGTAGGTAGGAACATATTGATTTTGCTTTCGTATATGTATTTTATTGTTCTGCTCATTATATTATGAACATAATACTGTAATAGTATTGCTTAAATTAGTCTGAGTTTCGTTAATTGTTTAAGTTGGTAAAAAGACATTAATTTTATAAAAACGATTGAAATTTCATCATTTTAATTTGGTTTCATAAATTATATCAATAAGTAAACATTTGTCGCGATAACGTTGTTAATGCTATTACGTTAATGTCACTTATAAGGATTTTTATCTATTGTCGACTCTATATGACCTTTTCCTGAAAGTAATACTCGTCCAGAGCTTAAGCCTTTTGAGCAGTTCAATATCTGCCCATTACCGAAATCTTCAGGGACTTCCCAGGTGAAAGTTTATTTTGTAACATTATGTATTTGTATAATAATACTGTTGCATATCAATATAATAAGGACAGGTGATTTCTATCTACCTTAAAAGTCATTATATATAATATATCAATATTAATTTGTATTATTTGAGATACTATAATTGAAGATTTTTATCAGACATTTACATAGTGGTTACCATTTTCATTATTTAGTTATTCACGTTCACAAAAATTTAAAAATTAAACGTATTTACTTGAAAAGGATTTATAGATAAAAATGTTGCCTTTAGCCTCAGCTAGGAATATTTGTAAAAAAATAAATTTATGCAAGTTATACAAAGGTTACCCGTAATGTAAGTGTAATAACTTTGCTCAGCACGTAATATAAAATATTTAAAAAGTAGGTATTGAAAGTTTTTTTTTTTTTGCATTTAATACTTTGCAGCTGTCTTTAAAATTGGATTAACTGGTAATACTCATGGTCAAAGTAATAAATAAGCTATCATAAAACGCAGTGATGTCTTAATAGCTTATAACCATAAAAATATTCTTAGGTGAGATGATGACAGACATAAAAATTGTTATTTACTATTTGGATTGGGTTGACACTGGAATATGAAATATTGCATAAGAGAGTATTAGTATGAGTAGATTAGTAGTATGTTACATTCTTAGCGTAATTAGTTAACCAGTTATCTATAATACATTACAATTTAACATACCAATTTTGTGTATAAAAGGAATTATTAAAATAAGATCAATTATCTAAATAAGATGGTTGTATGGAATGCCATCATTATAATTAACCTATATTAATTATTTAGGTTTATTAAATTAAACAGTTTAAGAAGGAAGTAAAATATAAATATTTAAGTTTACATATTCATATATTATTGTTATTGTAATCAGATTAAGTATCTATCCTCAAAATTTTTTAAAGAAGCTTAGTTTTCTAAGCTCCGGCTTAAGTGATTGACTAATTGGATGGATAAAATATAAAGTATTTTAGCTCAATAATGATCTTTCAATAAAATTAAAGTAATAATTATGTCATGTGGTCCTGAAATAGAACGGATCACACTTTCCTTTCCCATGGGTGTTGTAAGAGGTGACAAAGGGTACTTAAAGGTCAAGGGATGGGCAGCAGCATCCCTCTTAAAACATCACCAAAGGCTAACTGCGGTTGCCAATTTGTCTAAGCGTAGCAAATACAGTGACCATTTCTTGTAATTGTTTATTTATAATTTTTAATTATCTTTTGGAGGAAACAATAAAGAGTATCTATCTATCTACTGGCAACACCCTCCCCCCCCCTTGTGGGGGAGGCCTATGTTTAGTAATGGACAGTTAACAGTTGGTATAATAATAAAACCTAATTTTATTGTTAATAGCTTCGTAAGCACACTTTTTATTTCAATATAATAATAACAAGTTCGCGCTTGCATCTCAGCCGCTCAAGACGAAGGGTTTAGGACGGTCTCCAAAGTAGTCGAGATTTCTCGATCAAATTACACGTAAGATAAATCGGTAGTTATTACATTAAAAATTATTTAACATGCACAGTCTATAATAAAATACTATAATTAAAATAAAAATAATTATTAGTACTTACTCGCATTACTAAAATGATTGGAATTTAGAAAAAATATTTAAGAAGTAATTCAAATCCAAATAAGCTATATTTATTTGAATCTCACGCATAGAAAACTAGTAACTGTAAGTAGATTTTCACAGTTGTGGTCCTGAATGCTTAATGGCCTAACTTAAAATCTTGTGGATATTTTATCTTGGTACGCCATCTAAAAGTTGAACTTACTTCGAAAATGTACACGTACGAAATTTCGAGAAAAATCTAGTTGAGAATAAATCAGATCTGATTTGAAACTAGAAAAATTGGTCTATCATTTTTGTGTTATTGAGGAGACAAAATGACACATATTGAAAAATGCTCTACATTTTATAGGGAAAATATCCCATTTAGTGTACTGAAACTACAAAAACAGACAGACAGAGAAACGGGTATTTATGTACTGTATTATTATTTATTGTACTATTTAATAAAAAGCTAGCTGCCCGCGTTGATTTTACACGAGTAGTATATCCGTGCAAAGCGTTTTTTTAGTTTCCCGCACGATTTTTCCTTCCTTTTTTTTCATAAAAATCTTTTCTGGAGAAATAAAAACACAACAAAAAAAATAAAAAGAATCAAATAGGTTTTTTTATTAATGGGTGAAAATGGTATGGTAACCCCGCCTGCGCTAACGGGATACGCTGGCGGAGCATTAGTGAAGGGTGATAGATGAGAATGAAAACAGGCCAGTTAGCCCATCATGATGAATTCATTAGGAATTAACCATGATAGTTTCCAGAGAGAACCGCGAGGAGATCGACCTGGTTGGGTATATTGCTAGCAATGGTAACTCCATTATTAACGATCCCTTTCCCCCCAGATATAGCTGTCGTGGTGCGTTTACATATATTCGGCAATTGATTTTTATTATTTTATTATATATATATATATATATATATATATATATATATATATATATATATATATATATATATATATATATATATATATATATATATATATATATATATATATATATATATAGTACCGAACCCTTAAGTCTAAGGAGAGATTTTGCCTCATTCTGCGTGTTCTACCGCTTGTACAACGAATTGTGCTCAGAGAAATTATTCAATATGATGCTTACGGCCACTTTCTATTATCGTACGGCTCTCCATCGACAGGGAGTTCACCCTCATACCCTACAGCCTAGATGGTCGCATACAACACGGTTTCAGAGATGTTGTTTCCTACGAACACTCAGGTTATGGAATGAGCTCCCTGCCGACGTTTTCCCAAGAGACTACAGCATGGGGTTCTTCAAAAGGGGGGTGAAGGTGTCTTTTGGGTCCGCAACACGCGCGTAATACCTCTGGTATTGCAGGCGTTCATAGGCTACGGTAACCGTTTACCATCAGGTGGGCCGTATGCTTGTTTGCTGCCTTAGTAGTATAAAAAAAATTAGTATGTTACTATAATCATGTCACATCTTTTTCACCACCTCTGCCCTTCATACGCTTTCTGTTTTTACCTAATGATTACTTGGTAGAGAATGCCATATGGCATTCAGCTCCGCACATGTACAAAGATTTATTATGCAATAAAAAAAAAATATGACGAAAAAATAAGCATTATCATAAAGTACGAATTAATAATGTTAATCAATACAGATTAAAACGTTTGCATTAATTTATCAAATTGTGCTAAAATTTATTGTACTAAATGG